AAAAAAAAAAAAAGTATTTGAAAGATCTATTTTTTCGATTAAATTTTCTCCTTTTTCGTAAGCTAGAATATAGCATTAATATTTATGTACCTCGGTGAGTAAACATACTTTAGATGTACCGCGACAGATGATTTATGTCTCATGGTCGTCATAACAGCATAACCGTTTTATGATGATGAAAGTAATAAAATATTTTATTGACTTCGCTGTCTTTTGTTATCTGGGAAAATATTTATAATCTCTTATCATCAATATTTTAAAAAAAGATTAATAAAAATATGATTTTTTTTAATCAAAAAAAATTAAAATAGTATTTAATCAAAGGTGAAAGCTTAACACATATGAGAAATTGAGGTAAAAGACTGGGTGGCTAAGATTCAAAGACCTGTTGGAACTAAACTGTTAAAACTAGAAATTGCAGATTTGATCAAGCTATTCATTGTTTAGTTGTGTATAATATATTATTTCATTTTTGTATAAATGATTTTTTTGTAAAAAAAAAAGAAAAAAGTCAAATTATCTAGTTTTCCCGCTATTTGAAATTTTAGAATTTCAGTGAAAAAGTAACCGATGTTTCTATTTTATATGACAATTTAAGAAAATTATACGTGTGATGTAGACAAGACCGTTCTCAAGAGAGGAGGATGCAGAGAAAATTTCGAATTATAAGTTTTATGACATAAAGCCTCTTGCGTTTATTTATTAAAAAAGGAAGCTGGTTTACGGTTTAGACATTTTTGTCAACTTTTCGATCACTTTAGATGTTATAACACTTTCCCCCAACGATTTACAAATTTTTTGACTCAAAACATAACAGCTAGTTTAACAACTTTTAACATATATAATTACAGTAATTTATCAACTTTTAATTTATCGACTTTTAACTTATAACGTCTACATAGATTTTAATTTTAACAATTCTTGATGTACATCATAACAGAACTTTTATAATTAAATTTGAAAAAAAAATTTCTTTTTAATGTCTGTCTTAATTTTTAAAATTTCTATTTTAAAATTTTATTTTACTGTACTAAACGATAAATTTAAAGCACTTTAAATGCACTGGTCTACTATAGTCCTTACGTCTTATTTAGCGTTTGAAAATTTTGAGTAGAAAAAAAAAGAAAAAAAATTTTCATTGAAAATATATTATCAATATTATATATATATATATATCCGATACCGATGCGAAAGGTCAGGGGTTCAATCCACGACTCCGCTAAGACCCATACTCTTAAAATCTGTGGAATTGAAAGTCCTGTGGTCGGTCGCTGGGCAGTACCATGAGTACAGGGAACTGAAGAAAATTTCCTTCCCCTTCAGATTTGTGTCTAAATTGAGGTAGTGGCCATCACTANTAAGACCCACCGAGTACATACTCGTAAAATCTGTGGAATTAAAAGTCCTGTGGTCGGTCGCTGGGCAGTACCATGAGTACAGGGAACTGAAGAAAATTTCCTTCCCCTTCAGATTTGTGTCTAAATTGAGGTAGTGGCCATCACTAACTGTGATCGCATGTCTTCAAGTCAACTTCAGGGATGTTTCATTTCATTTATGCTACCTTTTCGATCTTATTGTTGCTTAAGCACTTTCATTCGACGATCTTCCAATTTTTTGACGCATAACATGGCAAAAAGCTTAATATTTAATACTTTTTAACATTTTTTATAATTAAACTTGATAAGAACATTTTCTTTTAAATTTTTGAAGTTATTTTTAAAATTTCTATTTGAAAATTTTATTTTACTGTACTAAGCCTTAAATTTGAAGCAGTTTAAATTTATAGTCCTTACATCACTTCTAATGCTAGTTCTACTATAGTCCTTACGTCGTTTTTTTTTTTTTATTTATTTAGCGTTTGAAAATTTTAGCGTTGAAAGAAAAGAAATCTCATTGGAAATATTACGAAGTACTTATTAAGCTTAAAAACTGACATTAGTAGTATGTGGGGCACTATAGACACGGAAGTGACGTCATAGTCAACCGGAGCTTATTTCTGCCCCAACCGGAAGTTGCTTATTTCTGCCNGCGGGCAGAAATAAGCAACTTCCGGTTTATAGAAGGGCAGAAATAAGTCACTTCCGGTTTATGGGCGGGCAGAAATAAGCAACTTCCGGTTGGGGCAGAAATAAGCTCCGGTTGACTATGACGTCACTTCCGTGTCTATAGTGCCCCACATACTACTGACATTTTATATTGAAGCCATCTTGAATAATCTTATTTTAAATTAAATTGTGATATATTTTTCAGCCTACAATATGATTTTTACCAGTACTATTAAATGGTGTGAAAACAAATGGATAAATCAAAAAATAAATAACTTATTTGAACTATATTCGAAAAATCATATTTATTTTCTTTTAACATGTTTTTTTATGTTCAAACATCACGAATACCTAATTTCTATTATAGGCAAATTGATAATTCATTCCAGACATTAAATATAGCCTTTCTTGCTGAAATGAAATAAAATTAACCTTGTAATGGCAAATCGATTTGTTTCCACGTAAACATTGTGCCATTTTCTCATTAGCCAAATAAAACTAAGGGTGGTGGCGTTTATGTCCATCACGCCAAACAATGCCAAAGCATGACTTATTTCGAGAAGTACTCGAGCGCATGATGGGTCTTCCAAAAATTATGAAGAAAAAAAAGGTAAAGTGTTATATCAATCAGTAATTCTAACTTTTTTTTGGATGAGGTGTTTTATTGTATTTTACGATGATGATCATTACTATTTATTGTTCTAAATTAAGTTCTGATAAAATTTTAACTGTATAGAATAAAAGTATGGAAATAAATTTCTTCTTATTAAATATTCCTCTTAAAAAAATAAGTACATTGAGATGCTTTTTGTCTCCAGGTGACAAACTTTTCCCAAGCTTGAGTTTCCCTTGAAAACTTTTAAATAAATTATCTTTATTTTAGTATATTGTCTGTAACGATAGAATCTTACAATCATGTATAGTGGGACCGGGGGCAGAGGGATTAGTTCCCCCATATTTTATAAATCAAGGGATATATATATATATATTAAAAGAATTTTTGGGTGTTGAAGGGCGATTGCGAGATTGCTTGAACTTTGCGAAAAAACTTGTTTATTCTGGAATAATAGTTAAAAGATGGAACAAAAAATTATCATTTCGCGTTATTGTATATTGAACTATTAAAATATTTTATTCAAAAAATACATCTAACTAGGAGAAAAACATAATGTTTTGTAAAATTGTTCAAAACATGAATAAAACCTAATGTTTTATTCATACGATAAGCATTTAATTGCTTTAAATATTAATTATTTTTTACTGTTCCGTAAAATATTTGAAATTTTAATAAGAATGTATTCTTAAGAATATATTCTTTTTCTTAACTACCCTTAATCGTTAAAGTTTTTCGTACAATGAAAAATAATTAGTTTTACAAAACTGTCGACACTAAAACGATAGATATACATAAATTGTAACTTAAAGTAACTTAAATGGCTTAAAAAAAAAAAAAAACTAATTAGACTAATTTCTACAAACATTTCAGAATAAATTCAGACTATTGTTAAAAGATTAAAATTTTTGAAGCTTTTTTGTTATAAAAAATAGAATAATAATAATTTTTTAATGTAATATATAATAGTCAATAAATTATTCCTTTACAACATTTAAAAATCCGTAATTATATTTATAATTTGTTTACACAATTAAAATTCAACTTATAATTTATTAAATGCAAAATAAAAAATAGTTCCATTTATCACAGATGGTTTGTTCTAAAAACATTGGCAAACATTGTAAAAATTATGCTAGATTTGTTAAAATAAATATTTGAACAAAGAATAAAATCTTTAAATACTTAAACCAATGTTATTTTCCAAAATCAGGAAATAGAACTCCAGAAATACTTATTAAGAATTTTAACGTTAATTCATTTATTCGATTAAACTTTTTTTGCACCGCAGTGACGACACGACTCGCATTTTGGTTTACTTATTAAGTAAGGTCATACAATTGAATTTTCTCGTACTAAAATACAATTTAATAGTTTCAATGGACAAATATTAAATGTACAAATTTAATCAGCGCAAGCGGTTCTTTAAGTTATAATATTGTGCTTTAAAATTTAATTTCTCCAAACCCTTACTAGAAATTACGCATATCTTTGACAGAATTGTGACTCTCAAAATAAGGAAATAGCTATCTGCAATCTTTCTACAGAAAAAACTTTCTTTTTATTTTTTTAATTTAATAATGTTCGTTAGTGCGTTTCCCAGATACTAAATGATTTTGAAAGACAAAAAATTAGTTTTTTTTTAAAAAATGAAATTTTAAAAATAAATTAAATTATACTTCCTAAAAAATATTTTTTTTTATTTTATTGATTTCGTTCTAGTTTGAAATTGGTCATTAGAAATTCGGCAAGAAAAATTTCGAGAAATTTGTATCTTACAATTATTATTAATATTTCATTATTATTTTTTTTTATTATTATTATTTTATTATTATTATTATAAACTAAGCAGAAGGTGCTGAAAAGGAAAGAAAAAAAAGGGTATGCCACCGTAAATTAAGAACCTCCCTACCTTCCTAATGTTTTTAAAACAATTACTTCCATTTGAAACCTCTTTTATAAGTAACATCATCATGACCACTGAATGAATTATAATTAGGAAAGAATTACATTAGGAAGAATTCAAAGACCATTTTCGCTGCATGTGGTTCACGCACCTCCGATCACCGTCGAGGAAATATGAGAACCTGAACTCACAAATCAAGTTCTCTTTTTTGTCAACGGCAATCAGAGGTTAGGCATTTTTCAAACATTTCTCATTTTACTTCCTCTACTTTATCTATAAAGCTCTATCAGCAGTTCAAAAGAGCATACATATCAAATACGTTTTTTCGTTTTTCGCATGCGAAAGAGAGCTTGATTGGCAAATTTGTCACATGAAATATTTTTCTCCAATCACATTCACGTTCGAATGGGAAAAAATCATATCCAGTGTAAATGCTCCCATGGGATTCACAGATATCAGCGATCTAGTTCGGCTTTAACTTTAGATCGTACCGCCAAAAACAACTCAACTTATTTTCAATAAAAATAACAACAAATAACAAAAAAAGACGCCCAATCAATCATGAGAGACGCTAGGCGGCAATTTAATCTTTCCTAAAGTCAAATATGATATAATTCATCTAAAAATAATTAAATACTAATTTCTTGGCGAAGATTACTTGCATTGCTCGTAGAGTATTTTTCTTTCATCGATAAACATGTTTGTTTTTCTTATTTTGTAACATTTAAAATAGACATAGTATCTTGATTTCTGAAACAACTATTTTTTATTGTTATTATTGAAATGGGTCAAAGGAAGAAAAAAACCCAAAAGAAAAAGGAAGCTTGTTTATTCTGTGGTAGAGATGAAGATGATGAAATTGTTTTTGGTAAATTTTTTCATGACAAGGACTTATCTATTCACCAAAATTGTATGTTCCTTTCAAGTGGACTTGCTCAGCGCGGATCGAAAGAATCAGAAGGCATCTTAGGATTTCTCCCTGTAGATATCAAAGAAGAATATGCAAGAGGTCAGAAATTGAACTGCTGTTATTGTAGACAGGGAGGAGCTACTCTGGGATGCGTTGTAAACAGTTGCAAGAGATCATTCCATCTTCCCTGTGGTGTTAAAAATCTGGCTCTTAATCAACATTTCGGTGATTTTTCTTCTTATTGTCATGCTCATAAACTAAAGCAGAAGCATATACAGATTAAAGAAGACCTGTATTGTTACATATGTTGTTCAGAACTTACACCAGATGACTTAGAAAACTGTTTATATTCTCCATGCTGTAAAAAGAATTGGTTTCATCATTATTGCCTTCAGAAATATGCGATCAGTGCTGGTCAGCATTTTTTTAAGTGCCCTCTTTGTAACAATTCATCTACGTTTGTGGAAGAAATGAAAGTATATGGTGTTTGTATTCCAAATAAGGATGCCTCATGGGAGTTAGAGTCTAACGCATTTAATGAACTTCTTTATCGTCCAAAATGTGGTGCTTCTGAATGCAGTTGCTACCGTGGACGAGAACATGATGGCAAAGGCTCTTGGAGTTTATTGGCATGTGCGGTTTGTGGGGCTGACGCGACACATAAACATTGTGGTAATCTGAAAAAGTCAGATAAGATATGGAGATGTGATGACTGCCAAGCCTTTGAAACAGCCAGAAAGAAAAAGGAAGATTCCATCATTAATGACTCCAAAAATGTAGCGGTTGCAACTTTGAATTTTAATGGAGAAAGTTTAATTGAAAGTAAAAATAATGTGGTCAGTAATGATGACAATACCTCATTGCATCAAGAAAGTGTTTCTGTAGCAACTTCTAGTGGTGATGATAAAACTATAAAAACAAATGTAAATGTTGATTTCAGAAAAGATGAAACTACAAATGAGGTAAAAAATAACAGTCCGATTGAAGTAAGGTATAAGTTACGATCCTTTTCCATTGTTTTGAATAAGGTAGATGTCAAATCTACTAAACTAGAAAGTGCTAAAACCTTTAACGAACGAGGCGATGATGCAAATCGTCTGAAATGTGAAAGTAAATCAAATTGTATAAGTTCTGATAAATCGAGTGTTTCATTTACAAATAAAGGATGTGAATCAGTTTTATCCTCAGAAACTATTGTTTTAAATGAGGTAGCAGTAGCTGTCGAATCTACTAAACTAGAAAGTGCTAAAACCATTAACAAACAAGGCGATGATGCAAATCGTCTGGAATGTGAAAGTAAATCAAATTGTATCAGTTCAGATAAATCGAGTGTTACATTTAAAGATGAAGGATGTGAATCCGTTTTATCCTTAGAAACTAAATTAAGTATTGACTCTGATAAATGTAGTACAATAGTTGATAACTTAACTATTCTTTCTCATAATGATAAAAACCTATTTAAGGACCCATCTGAGTCAGAAAAAAATGTATCACATATGGTATATGATCATGTAAATGATACAGGATTGCTTAAAGATAAAAGCGTCAAAGAATTTTCTTTGCGTGACAAGGGTTTAAAGATATTGGGTGATTTTAAGACTGAAAACAGTGAAATGAGACCAAGGAAAATGAAATGTTTAAGAGATCGTAATGAAATAGTTAAAAATAGAATCGAAAAATCACAACCTGTTATTCTGGTGAAAAGGCAAGCGGTAAGTATCCTGAAACCTGTTAAGCCAAAACGACGCAAGATAATCGGAAATGGTTGTTGTTCGGGAGGTGATAGTCATTGTATTAAAAAAATGTTTGGAATCAGCTGTGAAAACTGTAAATGATATAAGTTGTATTATATAGTATTTCATTTCATCTCTGAAAAACATTTAATCAGTCAGAAAATATTTTATTATGATTTTTTTTTATCTTCATGATTTTAAACTGAGTCTTAGAAACTCAATGCATCAAAGATATATGTAAATATTTCTTTCTGACTTGTTTGTGTTATATGTATATCAACACATTTCGCAGTTTTTGTTGATATATAAATAATAAGTTATGATATTTTCATAGAATTTCAGGGGTCTGTCCAGGCCATATTTACTACCGTTTAGCGGTACCTTCACAAATTCCACTTTAGGAAAAATGGTACTTTCACAAAATACTTTTTCTTAAAATTTTATTTTTGTATCCCGTAAGAAACGATAAATCCATATTTTTACCATAATTTTGTGTCTGCTTTTTAGTATACTTTTTAATTTTTCACAAATTATGTCTTAATTTTCACAAAGTAGGTACCTCTCAGAAATACCTAGACAGACCCCTGAATTTAATTTTTCTTGGAAAATTTTCCATATTAGTACAGTACCTATGGTCCTGCATATATTTTGGTGGTTTTTGGGCAGTTGCTCTATGATAAATTAAAAATCACATAACGGGGCAAAGCCGAAAGGTGAGACTCTTAACACCAACCAGGCAACTCTCTATATATTTTTCTTGAATTTATACCATGTTAAACATTGGACAAATTCATTTGATGTCTTTACCTATGTGTATGAACATTTGTTAAAATTTCTTTAATTTTATTATGACATAGTAAAATATTGCATTCATACTTGTAATACAGTGCAGAACCTCTTATCCGGAAAACCAGATAACCGAAATGAAATTTGGAACCATAAATTAATTTTCTTCCATTAAAAAAAAAAATGTTTTTCTTGCAAGATTTTGGGTCCATTTTGTTATTTAGAGCGTATGGCATATCGAGTTGACGAAAGAACTGATTTATAGGACGGATCAAAAGCCGTTTGTAGACGAATCTCACATAAGCACAAATAGCTTGCATATGTTAATAATAACACATATAAGCCTGTATATAATTTTTATTTCATAATTTCTTTCCTTATTTAAACTTAAGTGTATTATTATTTATCATTTTTTATTATTTCTAAAACTATTTCAAAATAATTTTTTAGTTACGTTTTATAAATATTAAAAAAACGGCATTTTGTAGCGATTCAGAAAGCCGGAAAAATCAGTTATCCGGAATCGCGATGGTCCCGATCGTTCCGGATGATNAACGATAAATCCATATTTTTATCATAATTTTGTGTTGACTTTTTAATATAATTTTTAATTTTTCACAAATTATGTCTAAATTTTCACAAACTAGGTACCTTTCAGAAATACCTAGACAGATCCCTGAATTTGATTTTTCTTGGAAAATTTTCCATATCAGTACAGTACCTATGATCCTGCATATATTTTTGTGGTTTCTGGCCAGTTGCTCTATGATAAATTAAAAATCACATAATGGGGCAAAGTCGAAAGGTGAGACTCTTAACCCTCTATAAATTTTTCTAGAATTTATACCGTGTTAAACATTGGCCAAATTCATTTGATGCCTTTACAATTTGAGTTGACACAGACAGTTGCTGATATGGAAATATTCCCTTTTTCTTTTTTAAAATCATATTGTCAAGAAGGAAAGTTTTTAATTTTTTATTCTAGAAAGTGCAGACTTCAACATGCAGAAGATAGTTTTACCTGTTAATTATCTTATCCAAATCTTATTTTATAGCTATGCCTATGAACATTTGTTAAAATTTCTTTAATTTTATTATGACGTCAGAAAGTATTGCATTCATATTTGTAATATAATAGAAAAGAATTAAGATAAGAGATATTAAGATTTCTAAAGATTTAAAAATTAAGAATCTGATGCAACTATGTTAAGATGCAGCTATGTTGTCATTATGTTAAGATTTTTCACCTGTATTTTTTTTTTCTTTTTTTTTGTTACATCTGTCATTTTGCATTTTTGTGTTTACATTTTAACAACAAATCTGCTGTAATTTAAGAATAATTTTAAACGAATGTTCTCTCTAAAAGAGAATAATGAAATGCAATAAAATTAGTATAAAGCCATAAATAAAAAAATAATGAACTCTAAATATATATAAATGTATACCAGTGGCTGAAAGTTAAATTGCAAAACTTTTGTTCACATAATTTCTGAATATCAAAGAGACTTATTTCTTGAAAACCGTTTTTAAAAAGACGGTCATTTTCCTGGATATAACAAATTTAAGTATGTATTATATATTCGTTTAAAAGTTTCAGTATATATATATTGTGAAAAATAAACTGAAATATGCTTTTTTAGATGAAAGCCGATAAAATTAAAGTTCATGTAAAGTATTTTGCTCATTTGATTTTCTTTAAAAAATGTGTTCATTTATATGTGTAATGGAAGCTAAGCACTATGTGTGTAGTATGTTATTAATTAAAATTAAACGAGTGGAATATTTCTTTTTTTAAAGGCTTTCTTTATTAGATGAAGAATATGTAACTAAGTTTTAGATGTATTTATACTCCTATTATAAAGTTTCTTTTCATGTTTAATCATGAAAGGAAAGGCTTTTACAGATAAGCAAATATCACTTTTATTTGATTTAAGTAATGTATGTTTATTTTTTATCAGGTGTTGAGACATAATTACATCTTTTTAAAACTATTTATTATTTACTTACGTAAATTATTACATGTTTAACCATTTATTTAATTTTAGCAATGGTCTTGTTATGAATTTTGTTTTTATTGGTAATTTTGTGAAGGATTTTAAGATGTTATAAAAATGTATTTATAAAAATGTATAATTATGCCATAATAGCTACAATAAATGTTCTATATTAAGGTGCACAACCTTTTTTGGAAGACTAAGTATCACACCACTGCACAAAATCATATAGCTATTGAGGGACACAATTACTACAAATTTTTATGTCATTTAATATTGATTTGATTATTTTTAGTTTAATAAAAACATCAAATTGTTTACCCTTTAAAAAAACAGTGTATAGCAAAAAATATTTATCTACGTAATATGTATCGAAACTATTTTCAAAGTAAAAAAGAAATTGCACATATTATTTTTTGATAAAAGTAAATTATAGCTGGTTTCTGTCTTTGTGTTTGCATTCTGAAATCTAAAGTTATAATTCCTAAACCTTTTTTTAAAAAATATCGAAATTAGTTCCTAAATTTTTCTTTTGCAAATTGTTTTTTTTTTTCTGGCTAAAAAAAGAGATTCGTAGGCTGCATCTGATTAAAAGTTGTGCATCTTTAATTCTGTTTTGATACAGTTGTTTTGAATGTTTGTTTTGTTTTTTATTATCTTACATACTAACGACATAAAACAATTTGTAACATATTTATTTTTCCCTAAGAAACTCTGATTTTAAAACTTGTAGTTAGCATAATTATTGTTTGTTAATTTTTATATATTGCTTTGTTTATTTGTTTAATGGCATTTTCAATAAAATGTAGTTAATTGCTATGGTCTTGTCTTTACTTTTTACAACGAATGTTATTTGAACTATTTTTGAATATTTTTATACGCAGACTATACTGATAGTGTACTCTGTTTATGTATTTTAACCTTTTTCTTATCTTAAAATAGTTTTTTTAATAGATTTTGAAAATCCTATTCAGATTGCTCAATTACAACTGATAGTTAAACTAATTTAAAACTATTTTAAAGACTTACAGTGACAGTATTAAAAAAACACAAATATTTTTTTAATATATTCAAGATAAATATATTTCAAGTTTTAAATTCCCAATATTATATTTTTTTAAATGTTTCTATTTTAAGACAAGTTGATTTGAATAATTTTACAAAAGAAATTCATAACAGTTATTACAATTTTTTTTAAAAAAAAATCTTAAATTGTAATTTATTGTTAAATAAAATGGAATATCACTTAGGAACCAAACTACAAGCAATTTTATTGATTTAAAATTCTTTTCTGAAATGTGCAGGAGACTGCTTGTGTATGTTTGACCAGATTGTAAACAGGTAGAACAGGTCATTACAGGTAGAGAAGCATGTACAGGTGACATTTGTATAGATTATCCGAGTAATATGTTGCCACATCACATAATCAAAAGTTACCTTTACTTGCTTGTTATAATTGGCTCTTTAAGCTTAGTAAATCTTAAGCTTGAAATTAATTCTAATTCATAAAAAGTAAGAAATAAACCCTCTACAGTTTTGCTTTTGGTAAAATGAAAAAGAATTTGAATCTCCAAAGATTATAATTATTAAAAAATTTAGCAGTTGTTTCTAAGAAAAAATGACATTAGGGTTTTTTCTTGGGACTCAGTACCATGCCTTGAGCTTATCCTAAAAACAAGATGTTACTGAAATAAATCTTATCAAGGTTGAACATTAGTTGAGATTGTTCAAGAATTAAGTACTAACTGAATAGAAATATTTTTCCCAGTAATCTGAATTTAAGAATTATTTCTTACACCTTCATAAACAAGGTCCTTTAAAAAAACTTTTTTTCAAATAATTTTGAACGTTAAGAATATTTTTCAAATTTTAAGCATTTAAGAAGAATTATGTATAAATTCAAATTATTGAAAATTGCATACCGATATCCATCTCCCCTCAAACAAGCACCCCCTCCCTCCCAAAAAAAGAATAGTATAAAGTCAAATGAATACAAGCTGTTAACCAGGGAATAAACTTTTGTGCAACTTGTCTCATAATAGGGACTTTGTTTTCTTTATAGTTATAAGTACATCATCACACCTCAAGTAATTTCCATGACAAAAAATATTGTGCCCATTGCAGCAGTAGTCCCAATTAACATTTTAAGTAACGAACTAATAAAAGTGGTCATTTTTTTCCTCATTATAAGAAAAAGCCTTTTCATCTATGTCAGTAACACCAATCCCATGAATCTAAAAATGTTAATACAGTACTTTACCCAAGTCTTAAAATTTAGTAACAATAGATTTAATAGCTTCGCATTTACGGAGATTTTTGTTTCAGAGTCTGAGTACATCTATATTTTAAACGGGGTTCCCACGGGTCAGGGAAAACCTGGAATTGTCAGGGAATTTTATATTAACTTTGAAAATCAGGGAAAGATGCAATTTTTTTACAAAAACCTGGAAAATTCCTTCATTGTACCTGGAAGAAACCCAGTTTTAAAATTGTCAGGAACAGTACACAGTTGTTGAGATTCGAGTTAAATAATTCTAACATCTATTACAGCTATTTATTTTAAAAATTTCACATTTTAGACAAACTGAAATGCTTCCTTCCTCATATAATATTTATTTTACATAGAAAATCTAATACTTAGCATTACAAATAAGAGAATCAAAATTTTCTGATGAAAAATTTTGTTGCATGGATAAAATATGGTATTGATTTTCATTGAAATATACCTGGAAAAGTCAGGGAATTTTTTTTCTGAAATTGAGTTATCACATTTATTATGCTTTGCCCAACTGAAATTTTCTGGGTAAGATTAAGAAATATAGTGGGTGTTATGCATTTTTATATGATAAATGTTCTTTTCAGATATTTTTTAATATTCCTTGCATATATAAGTGGATTCTCTTTGCTTTACCATGTTTATATTATCTGATCAGTCAAATTGATTGATTGGAATCATGTATTTAACACCCATCTGTTTATCCATTTATAGTTTTTATTTAAAATTCATAATCACACACACAAATTTTAAGTACTTTACTGATTTATCTATTTTTAAGTATTTATAATACAAACTAAACTAGTAATATTGAATAAAAATCGCCTTGCTCAGTAAATTTCTTGGGATAAATTAAACATCAACAAGAGTTCAGCACCCGGTCAAAAATGCTCCATAATTTTCCTGCACGATTTTCCCATAGAATAACATGAAGAAAAATAGTTTTTTGGTGTAGTGATAGACAACAAGTAAGATTTGGTAAAAGCTGGTACTAATGCTCAGAGGATTAATTACTTTATTTCAATTTTCTCCTTATATTTTAATATTTAATACCATTTTGTAGAAAGAAGAATCTGTCTACAATAGTGTCATGAGGAATAGTGTCTCATGCCTGTCTATAATAGTATCATGTCTGTTTTTTTTATTTCTCATGTTATTGATCTACATATTAATTTAAATTACATTATCCCATTTTATTCTTTAACAGGATGAAGGCTTAATTAAGCAAAAGCATTTAACCCTGCGTCAGCATGCATTTTATTTGTTAGAAGTTCATCTTAGATTTGGTAAAGACCTTCAAGCCAGAGATGCTAATGGTAAGACATTTTGCAAAAATTCAAGTTAAAAATTGTAACCGTATTTCTATTCTAATTAATTCACTTAATCTGTTTCTTTAAAATTGAGTCAAAATATTAATACAATCTATACTGTTTTTTGACATTGCAATGACCATTCTATAATAATGATTGATTGGAATCCTGTTAGCGATTCCATAAACCCAATTGTTCCCAGAATTTTTTATTTTTTTTTCTTTGGGGAAATGAACCCCAAGTATTCTTGTGCTATCGAAACAAAATATCTACTCCCACTGTAAGTGAATATTTCAAATTAGTCATTTAATATAACATTGGACAGAAAAAAAAATTGGTTTTGAAATGGTGTTAAAACCGTGTTTGCTTAGAACTAACCCCCATACATCTTTTCAACTGTCCCGCTATACTGGCGCAATTGCAGCAAATAAGTGACAATTCGTGGGCAGACTTAAATGAAAAAAATTGCCTTCAAATTGCAGATGTTGCATATAGGACCTTTGATCACATTTAAAATTATTTTCTGTCCATTACACGACACCAACCAACCTTATTTGGTTTTCATGCATACTTCCTTTACCTCAAATTCCATTACAATAATTAATGCCTTGAGTCTTGTATCTTAAAATTTCATAGGAATAAATATCTCTATCATACATTAAAACTAATAAGAGTTTCTTTAATTAAAAAAGAAATAATATGTTAAATTTAAAAGAAATTTATTATGTAATTTTAACAATCAACTAATGTAAAAGTAATTTTTTAAATATTCTGAATGTTGAATTGCATGTTATTTTATAAAATTGTTTTCATTATAATTATTAATAATTAATGTGTTTTGAAAAATCTGTAATTCATGTATTTATTGATTTTTTTTCCTTTTTCATTGCAGGTACTAGTGATCCATATGTTAAATTCAAAATTAGTGGTAAACAGTTGTATAAAAGTCGTACTGTTAATAGGACTCTTGAACCCTATTGGGATGAATTTTTTACAATACCTGTTGAAGATGTATTTGAGCCTCTACACCTTAGGGTTTATGATTATGATTTTGCTTTCCAAGATGATTACATGGGAGCTGCACAAATTGACCTTACAAACCTAGAAATTAGCAGGTAATTACCAAATTACAAAATAAAATCCTTACTTTAAATAATATACTTTGGATTAAATTATTTGTTATTCATAGTTCCAAGGCCAGATTAAGCGTACGTGGGGCAATAGGCCATTCAAATTTTTGGGGCCCTTAGATTAAATATTTTTTTCGTCTATTTTTTATTTATTCAAATATAGAAGTATTTATCTATCTTTTCATTTAAGAAAGCATATTTAAAATCAAAATAAATAATAATAAATTAAATTTTTCTTTATTTTATTAAATTAGAACTAAAAAATAATCATAACATTTTTAAAAAATTTAAAAAATCATTGTTTTTCTTAATTTTTTAAAATTTATTTTCAAAAAATCCATTCTAAGGGGGCCCCAGGCCATGGCCTAGTCTGGCCAAACGGGTAATCCAGCCCTGCATAGTTCTGTGGGAAAATATATAATTTATGGATTATTGTAAAATTTCAAGTTATAATTCAGTTTGATCTTCTATTTTATTTGTAAATGCTAATTAAATTATTTAATTAATTATTATTTAATTAAATGCTAAAAAATTATGGCTGCCTTGTGAACTAAAAAAAATACTGAGTTGTAAAAATATTTTTTAATTCGCTAGATTTCAATTGACAAGCTCTTTATATTGTATTGGCATGTTATATAGAATATATAACATTCTTTATTTCCTTTCAGACCCGAACGACACATTACTTATGTGCAGCTGAAACAATTTTGCATACTCTAAAGAATATGCAACTGTAACAATTTTGCTTACTCTAAAGAATACGCAACTGAAACAATTTGGAAATCTTTTCATCTTGTTTAAATTATAGCTTTGAAGTCTTTTATAAATGTTTGTACACAATGTTAATGTATTGATTCATTTATTTTTGCCAATAATTTGAAGCATAAGCATTTTATATATATTTTTTTATTGATTTATTTTTTGCAGTTTTGATACCATTTAAAAACTTGTAGCTGTTATGTGGTATTACATTCCTACTTTACATTAAACAAAGACTCAAAGAATTGACTGTTTCACTTTTCGATATTATAAATTTTAGTTTATATAAATTTATAGGACATTTAAAGATTAATTCTTACTTTTAGGTATTAATTAATTAATAGGTTTCATTTATGACAATTTTCAAATATTTTTCTGGCTTTTGATAATTGGTTTTAATTTTTATAACTATTGATTCCCTTGTTCCTTTAATATATTTATATTAATATTTAATTCAGGCCTACAGATATAGCTGTCACCCTGACGGAATCTGGAAAACCTGATGTTACTAGTCCGTCATGGGGCCAAATATTTTTAACTTTGACGCTTGTTCCTAAGACTCAGGATGAAAAAGAACAGGTAATAATGGTTTAACTTCGATTTACAAAATGCCATTATAAAAATGTGACAAATTATTGTCTACATCCAAATACGTTGAAATGTGCTACTGAAGATTGATACCAAAAAAATATGCAAACACAGGTTTTTCAATCAAAATTATTAATTTTAACAGCATTATTTTAATGTTAAAAATAATATATTTGAAAAAATTAATCTGAAATTTGTAATAAAAAAAAAGTATAGATTAATTTAGAAATTTCTTATAATTATATATAATAAATATAATACTTATAATAAATTTCTTATTTTGTCAAAAAAGAGCTTATTTTTTTCACTTTTTTTACTTTGTTCAAAAAATCAATTAAAAAAAAACATGTTTTTTTTTTCCATCTGCAATAAGATTCTAAATAGCTATTTACTTATAGAAAAGAGGAAAAATAATAAGAAGAATCTAAAACTGATAAAAATAAAATAAGTTGAAAAATAAAATAAATAAAGTTGATTAAAAATGAAAATAAGTTGGTTATGCTTGTTAAAAATAAAATAAAAGTAAGTTGAATAAAAATGAAAAGTAGATTTTCTAACACAAAGGCATTTTTATCTTTAAAAAAAAAAATTTATCTTGTTTATTGTTTTTTACTAAACTTTTAATTGTTGATTAAAATTATTTCCATTATTTGATTTTTTTTTAAATGTTAGAAAAACTATTTCACTCTATTAATACTAGTTACTTTCATTTTGTAAAATAACATGAAGGAAGCAGTTTCTTCACTTGGAAAACAACCTGACTGGAATATTGTTTTTGTGTTAAGTCATTAAATACAGGAATGGCATTATTATATGCATATAGATAAAAATAAAAAAAATAAAAGAATCATTTTGTTTGCTTCATTCATTTTCTAATAACTAAATATTTTTCAGTTTTTTAACAAAGGAACATTTTTGCGTTTGGGTTTCAATACACCATCTGCAAGTCCTGCTGTCAAGCGCCAAAAGACTCAAATGTGGGACTCTGTTATTACTATTGTTTTAGTAGAGGGCAAAAACCTTTTAGCTATGGATGAAAATGGAACAAGTGACCCATATGTAAAATTTAACTTAGGAACAGAACGATATAAATCTAAGGTAGGCTTATTTCATTAAATCTTTTTACAGTTTCATTTATAGTTTGCTTTAACATATCACATGATTTTTCTTATGATTTTATAAGTTGAGTTATTATAAGGTATTTAAAATTTCTGTTCTTGTTATCTTTAAGCTACTACTAAATAGTTTTTGTCTTGCAATATTAGTAATGAGCTATGTTTATTTATAATAAATTTATAGATAAATGCATTTTTTTTTTATTCGAGGAACTGTACTTATTAGTTGTTTCCAGTTCCACAACTGAGAGATTCTAAAACTAAATAACATAAGCTAAGAACATAAAAATCTGTATTAATACAAAAACAAATTTTTTGACTCTTTAATTCCTTGTCGATTTCATTTTTATTCATGTGCACTCCAGAACTATATTCTTTGTAATACAATTGTAGTGCAATTGATTTCGTTAAGTTTTTCGTTAGCTTTGTCATATTTTATTAAAAAACAGATGTTATATATATGTGTGTGTGTTCATAAATTTAATTCTATTTGCAAAGCAACTGATTTTTAAAAGGTTAGAAAATTATATCATATTAATTCAATAACGTTGCAATATGTTAATTAAAAGATTGATTTTTTTCTCAACTGCTAAAAATATAATTTGATTTTTACAGAGGTTCTTAAAGCTACCCACTTTAATAATAATTGAATTGCTATAAAAATTACCATTGTAATAATTTTATTAAAAAAAACCAGCAAATAATATATTATAAAATATATCTGTGCTAGAATATAACTTCATGGTTTTAAAATTACCTTTTAGAATGTATGACTCAAATTTTTATTATAATTAAAGAAAAGAAGTCTTCAAAAAAATTTTATGTTCAATTAAAATTCCTTGAATTCCTATTGGAATTAAAGTTAAACTCATTAGTTAAATATCGAAATACTGGTAACAAAAAATTTTCACGAAAAATTATTTTCCCCCTTAAGTATCTTATTTTCATTATTCTGAATAGAATTTTTTATAATATAAATCTTGATCTCCTTAATGAATTTTATGGTTTACTCACTGCAAAAACCTATTTATTAAAATGATATGATTAAATAGATTACTAATTGATCATGTATTAATGTGTTAAAATATTGACGTTGCTAGTTTTTGTTACTTATTTTAGACGTCTAAATATAATAGCTTTAGCCATTATTTTGCTATGTTTAAATCCCTGATTACAAATTGTAGCAGCGTAGTCATTAAGTTATGTGAATTATTTACCTCAAGCGTTTTCATTAAAACTTGAATCCTAAACTTTTTCTTCTTTTTGTTAGGTTATGTTTAAAACATTGAATCCCCAATGGCTAGAACAATTCAACCTTCATATGTATTCAGATCAGCCAAAAATATTAGAAATATCAGTTTATGACAAAGATTTCCATGGAAAAGATGATTTCATGGGAAGGTAAAGTGAACTTTATTTTACAATACATAATTGAAAAGCTTGTTCCAATATAATAAATTCTATGCAGTAAAAAAAATTTTTTTTTGTGTATTAAGCTGTTATATAGAGGAAATTCTAGAAACTTGTAGAGTGATTATCTGAAAAAAATACTAAAAAAGGGATTGATGTAAAAATTTTGTCTTTGGAAAAAGTGTGGCTTATCACTGCATTTCTCCAAATCCTTTAATTTTATCCATGTTATTTTTTCACTTTATAAGAACTTATTGTTACTAATTAATATACTATTTTCTAATACAATAAAACTTTTTTTAAAATGAGGATGTAATAGAGACAATTTCCATTTGGCAGTTTTCAGCAAACAACATGATGTGATACATTTAACTCTAAAACTCTGTGTAGACCATTAAAAATCTTACTGGAAAAGCATGTTTAATATTCATTTCAGAGGATAAAGAAAAGAACCAGCTTAAAAATAGATGTAAATAAAATAGAAATCTGTTTTGAAAAAACTTTCATCATAGAAAAAAAGCCTTCTTAACTTGACAAAATTAATTTTTTTATATTTTCAACCAATAATATTTTTTCTAAACTTGAATATGGAATGTTTTTTAAGTATCAATCTAACTTTTTCCACTAAAGAAGATACGAGAATTTATGTTTAAAAATCCATAACAAAAAATTTTATCAAATAATAAAGGCTTTTAGCAACTTCAAAAATGAAGACTTGCTAACTTAGATATAAAAATGTGTGTTTTTCAAAATATTTTTAAAAAAATGTCTATTGGCATTCTTTGAATAAACACCTGAAATTAAGTTTATATCTTAGTATTTTATGTGAAACATAATTTATAAACAAACTGTCAAAACTAAAAATGTCAAAAAATGTCAGTTATGTTTTAATGTTGCTATTATTGAGTGTTTTGTGCAGCAAAATCATGAAAAAAAATCATTTATTTCAATTTCAATCGAGTTTCTGATTAGACTTTGCAAGTACTAAAAATGATACTCAAGGGTTATTGTTTATGGCTCAGCTTAATGTTTTTAAGAGAATTTTTATTAGCACCTAACTTCCTTATTGCTTTCTTACCATTTTAACTTGCTTCATTTAACATTTTGTGATTGGGAAAGTAAATTAAACGCTGAAGAACTGCTGGTTTAATTTTAAAAACTTAGCAAGCCAGTATTTTATGCATTTTCACTTTGCATCTTATTATTTTCTGCATTTAAGGTAAACAAGTTTTTTATTAATTAATTTATTTCTTCTGATGTCTACCAACTTACGACCTTTTCAAAAAAGATATTTTCTAGATGTGGAAATTTTTTATGGTAATATTTGATTCTTAGTTCAGTGACATAGAGAAACATTTGGGTTCACAGGACATACTCCTCAATTAGAGGTTATGTTAGGTGCCTCTGAATAGGTGCCTTTGAAAAGAGGAGTGTAATCATTTGAGAGGGAGAAAGCCAATTAATTTTAATGCAAAACGAAGGCACTAACAAGTAAATTTTTTATCCATATTTTAAATTTCATTTTATGTAATGGAACTATAAATTATTCTAGGGTGTCAAATGTAAAATTTTTAAGAAAAGTCTTAATTTTTTTTCTTCAGTGCGAAGAAATATTAAAATTATAATGATATAAAACTTGATTATTTAAAAATTATATTTTATCATTCCTAAAATATTTAACTTCAGCCAAATGCTTATCTCTTAAAAAAAAATTTCGGAACGAGAATGGTAATAAATTTATAATTTTATTGTCTTTACTAACGCATTATATTTTACATTATATTACTAACGCATATATTGAATTTGATTAAAAGTAATATCAAGTCTCATGATATATCTACAATTCAAAAAAAATTTACCTAAAAACATGCAACAATGTACTTATAGTACTTGTTATAATGATAGAAATTGTTGCAATTTTTATGGTTTTAAAGAAATACTTTATGTAACCAGTTAATGAGTACTATAACTATTTAGATAAGAAAACGCATATTTTATCTGAATAAACATACTAATTTTCTCTATTCATATTCATTCTCTAGAAATATGTTTCCAATAAACTAGTCAAAAGAGTATTTAAACCTTTTATCTCTTCAATGATATTTTTATTTTTGCAATAGTCTGTAACTAATTGCTTCAATGAAAATTCGATAAACAATTATTAGATATGTTTTTCCATCCATCAGCAAAAAATAAACAAGTGTATTTTGTTTTGTTTTTTCGTTCCTTTATATTTTAATATAATATTCGTGTAAAAATTTTGTTTAGAAAATGTTGTTTTATGTAACAAAAATTGCTATTCAGTTCTTTATTTGTGAATCCAAATGAAAAACACCAACTTAAAAAACAAACTAACTAGCAATTAAAAAAGCAATAGGTTACAAAATTGCATTTAAATTCGGTAACAGTATGATACATTAGTGTGCATTTGATGAACCTTTTATCTATCTATATATATGTATCGCTCATGGGCTGCAATAGCGGCACACAACTCAAAAAATCATGCTTTGAGATAAGTGGGTTTAAAGTTTTCATTGCTAAGGAAAGTGCTTTAGTTTGCTTAAACGAAGATTACGTTCAAGTTAAATTATGAGTTGTGCTAGTATTGCTGCTGAAAAGAATGTGTATTTTCATATTTACACCTGGTCTTAGTGTAGAACTCGCGTTTTTTAAGTTGTGCCGTTATTGCAGCCTATGAGCGATATATAAGGTTCATCAAATGCACACTAATGTATCATACTGCTACTGAATTTAAATGCAAATTTTGTAACCTATTGCCTATTTATTGGAATTGAAAATGCAAAATGGATAATTTGAAATAGTCTATTAAATCATTGTTTGCATTAAGAGTTAAAACTTCATATGAAGATGGTTAAATGACCATATCAAAAACAATTTTGATGTTTTATAGTGTAAAGTTTTATCTAACTATTTATTATTAATGTTCTTGACAGATGCACAATAGACTTGAGCGGGTTTGAGGAGGAGAAGACCCACTCGGTGTGGAAAGATTTAGAGGATGGGGCTGGCTCTCTATTCTTTCTAATCACTATATCTGGCACAATGGGCTCAGAGACAATTTCTGATCTTTCATCTTATGCTTTCGATGCGAGCACACAGAGGAATTTTGTTAACCAATATGTGAGTATAGAGTGAAACTTTACTAATAATAGTGACAAGGACGGCTTTACCTGAGGCCCCTTTGTACTTATTTTACCTCGCTCCATGACATAGTTGCTTTTACTTTTCATACTCATAGTTTTTAAACTGTAGGTGTGTACAAAAGCAATGTTGTAAATTACTAACATTTTTATATTTTATTGTAAATTTAAGTTCACATGAAGATCAAGATGGCTATATTGTAAGATCATATCATAAGATCATTTCATATTGTTTTTAATATTTATTTATTTTGCATTAAGATTTTTCTGAGTTTTTTATGTGGAAGAAGAACAAAATAAAGAGAATGAGATTATATGAATGCAATGCTTTAACAACGGGGACCACACGCTATTAATATATATATATATTTTTTTTTTCCATAAAAAAATTTGAGGTTTTAAATATTTTTTTTTTTTTTACTTAATTTCATTTCCAGGGCTAGAATAGCCTAAGTGAGGCTCTAATTTTTATTTATTTATCATTTCTAAAAAAAATTTCTTAGTTTTCTACAGCTCAAAAAACACAATTCCACATTTTTTACAATTTTTCAAAATTTTTTCAAACTTCCACTGAAATTTGAAGCCCTGTAGTAATGAAAGGTTAGTTGGCACTAGCCTAAGGCCAGTCCTTGGTACTGAGAATATCTTTTGCTGTTACCAATCCCTCATAATTTAAAACCTGCTAATCTGATCTATAATTATGATAAAATGTACTATGTATGACAAAAAGGCATGGTCCTTGTTCAGTCAGATGAATTCTTCATTATCTCGATTAATCGGCATCCAGACAAACGCTGTCTAACTGTACTTCAATAAAGTGTTCTCAGTATCCTTTTAAATAAGTTATGATAATTATTAGCAAATCAATCATAGTAAAAGTAGAACGTAAACCACCAAAATTAATTTATTTGTTTGATGCAATGAGAAACAAACACTTTTTAGTTTTAACTGGCAATTGATAGTTCCATTTAGATTTGCCATTATATCGTTTAACAATTATCTTACTAACAGTTTTATAGATCGTAATAAGTTAATTTCTCCTCATGTTAACTAATAATGTGTTAATTATTTTTTCATTAATGTCAAAGATTAAAAAAATATATGATGAAAAGTGGAAGATCTTGTATAAAGTAAAACAAATTGTTCTTTTTTCTGCAATTATAATTAAGATTTTTTTATTTTATTTTAGAGCTTGTTAAAAACATTTAAAGAGCCCTATGACATTGGACATCTTATAGTAAAAGGTATATCTATGCAATTTCTTCTTTGAAAACTTTTCACTGTTATTATCATGAAAATTATTATAAAACATATATATATTCTTACAGTGTTCAAAGCACAAGGGCTGGCAGCTGCAGATTTGTGTGGAAAAAGTGATCCTTTTTGTGTAGTAGAGCTTGTTAATGCCAGGCTTCAAACACATACTGAGTACAAAACTCTTACCCCTGAGTGGAACAAAATATTTACATTGTAAGTGCTTTATTCATAATGTGATTCATATAGTGAATGAGTATGATTCATAATATTTAATAAATGAATACAAATGGCTGTCATTAATTGTTATTTTAAAATTAAAATTTTTATTCTAATATATTAAGCATGTAAAATATATTGAATTTATGCACACAATATACATGGTGAGGTAGCAAATCGGGAAATTAAGAAACAGCTTTTTTTTTCTTTAGCTGGCGCTTGTTTTGTGTTTGTTGTCTGCTCTTATATATTTAAAATAATTAAAGCTAATCATTCACTCTTGACAACATTTTTAAATTTGTTCAATTTGCTGACGCAACTTGTATTAAGTATTGTTTTCTTCGTAATTTTGTGCTTATTTGTATTTTTGAAAAAAACAATTCCTTTGTATAAAAATTTTCTGAAAATTATTCTCTCAAAAAAAATTTTTTTTTTCTTTCTTTTTTTATTTCAATATGTTCTTGTTCTTTATCGCAACCTTTTTCTTGAATTAAAAAATAATATGCATTAATGAAGATTGTAATATTTTATCTTTAGAAGAGAAAGATAATATTGTAATGTAGTTACTGTTGTAAAAATTAATAAGATGGAATAATATTGATAAGCTATATTGATAATTTATGTATTTTTGTGTTATGTTTTTAGCCAAGTAACAGATATTCACTCAGTATTAGAAGTAACTGTGTATGATGAGGATCGTGATAAAAGGTGTGAGTTTCTTGGAAAAGTAGATATCCCTCTATTAAAGGTAACTTTTCATGCTAATGATTATTTTTCCCATGTTTGCTTTATATTTTAAAGCCAAGTAATTCTTAAATAATTAGTTAATGCTATTGTTAAAAAAAATTAATAAAACTTGTGATCTTAATTTTTATGAAAGATTGTCTTTAATTTCACGCATGAATAAATGGTGATGTAGCAAAAGGTTTTTAATAATTATATGATAAAATAATAAAAATAAACATTTATAAGCTTATCAAGGTTTTTTACCCCAAACTATTTTTTAAGTTGCAATGCCTTCTAAAATTAATTTTTTTTTTAAATAGTGTCTTCAGCCTTGCTATTGTTTCTAACTATATTTTCAATCTTTTAACAAATAAATGCATTGCTTACCATACTTTTAAACGATGAAAACTTCAAGTTATATTTGTGTAAAAAGGAGAAATTTATACACTTATGGTGGTTAACAATTTAAATAGTTTACATAAAAACAATACATTTAATGAAACCTAATTTATTATTCAAAACGACATATTTTAGGTAAACAAATAATCTTTTTCCTTGCTACAATTTCATGTGTAGACTTTTAAAAATGGTAGTTTTTTAATAACAAATCAGGGTTTGTTAAATGTATTGAATTTTATATATGTGATACTTTAAGTATATACATAGAAAATATAATGGCTGGGTTAACTCTATATTTTATAGTGTTAACTGTACCCTCTAAAGTATTTATTATATTATCATGTATTTTTTTGTAACTATTATTAAAAATTGATTATTTTAGCCAAAAAATATGAATTAGTCAAAATGTTTTAAAAGTCTATTAAATTATACACCTTCACTTATTTTGTATACTTTATTGGCTAAAAGTAATAGCAATTTTTAATAAAATGCATAATTTTTTTTAGAAAAAGAGCAAATTTTGTTTATAACATACTTTTTCTGATTTTTTTTTTTACTACTAGTACATTTCTTTGTTTAAAACATGCTAAGATCAAAACTTTGACACAGGTAGAAATTTTCTTGCCACATAGATTTAGAATTGAAGAAAAACAAATTTGCATTGCACATGTTTTGCACTGAACATGTTTTGGTGATCCAGTATTTAGTTAAATTGTACATACTAAAGTGTACTTCTTAATTACCAGTGAAAACTTAATACATTAAGTCAATTTGATTATTTTATTTTACAGTGCCAATTTTAATTAGTTTTTCACTTAAATGGTTTTAATTTATTTTCTTTATTTGGTATATAAGATAAAACATATCATTTGTTTGTTGATGCTAATTTTTTTATTCATTTAAATAATACAAGCAAATATGATGAAAAACATATTAAAAAGATTTATATATAAAGTTAAATATGGAAAATTATTAAGTTTAAAAATTGTGCATGATTATCTTACATATGCATAATGTGTAAAGATAGTTTTTTCTTCATTCAATTATTATTGGTTAATTTCCATTTAACATAATGTTATAAATTTTTTTAGATAAGAAATGGTGAAAAGAAGTGGTATGTTTTGAAAGATAAAAAATTGAGAACCAGAGCAAAAGGCCAAATACTCTTAGAAATATATGCATTTTATAACCCAGTAAGTATTAACCTATTATATCTATCCATTATACTTATATATTAAGTGTGATAACTGCAAAAACAGAATGAATATATATATATATATGTGTGTGTGTGTGTTACCGTTAAAGTATGAAATCCGTTATTTTATAGAATACCTACTTTTTCCATGAAATAACTGATCGTGTCCGTTAAAGTGTAAAACTCTCTTGTATTTCATGGTTTAACTAGTTATTTCATAGAATAACGATCTGCAGCCCGTTAAAGTGTAAAATAATCTACATCATATATCTGTAGTTGAACAAGTAGTTGAAAAAGTAATAGAACAGACATTATTAAACAATCCCATACGAAAGCATGTGTTGTCTGATTAAAAGAATGCAGTGAAGATATAGTTTGCTTCAAATGTATGGAGCCTGTCCAAATATCATGTGCGGAAGATTATGTTTCAGAAGATGAAGTTAAGCAGAAAATCTGAAAATTGTGTTTTAATGAAATTAATGTTCAAAGAGAAAGAGAAAAGTCTAAAAAGTGTTTAGAAATTCAAGTGAAAAAGATTAAATTAATGTCGGATAAATCTCATTCTGAAGCCTCTGTGGGGTTTACCGTCCCTATCCCAGTGCCTGAAGTTGACAGAGGAAAAGGTGATGCCAAATTTATTTTAGCTATCATCATGAAAATAACCGAAGAAGGATTTTTCCAGTTGGGCACAAGAAACGGCCGCATAAAACAATTATATTCCCGATCCCAGTTCAGTGTCTGCGAACAAAAATTTGTTAAAATCGAAGAAGTACCGGATGTAGAAATATCGCTTTGGTCAGTTGCTACAGCTCAAAGTTTAGGTACTGGTCAGGGTTTTAAAAAATGTTCGTGTAAAACCCAGTGTGTCAACAAAAAAATGTTTTTGTTTTAGAAATAATGTTCTTTGTAATTCCAAGTGTCATTTTAGTAATCCTTGTTGTAACAAATTATGGCACGTTTTCATAAATACCATTTATACGCTACATAAATTAGATACATTGCTTCTTTTTCATTTTAATTGTCTATCATTAGTTTATTTATAGATTACCTAGTTATTTCATTTTAGATAAATTGTTTATTTTACACTTTAACTGTCTCTCATTAGTTAATTTATAAAATACCTAATTATTTCATAGAATAACTAGGTAGTTAAAGTGTCAAATTAATAACATATTACACACTTTAACGGACATGATCAGTTATTTCATGGAATAACTAGGTATTCTATGAAATAACTGCATTATATACTTTAACGGTAACATATATATATAATGCACTTAATAGAAAATAAAGGTGAAGAAATTCTTGCGTTTTAACATTACAAAAAAAAGATGATAATAATAATTAAAAAAAATAATTAAAAGTTTCTAATGAATTATGTTCAATAGTGATGCCATTTTTTGGCAAACTTTTGTGTGACAAAATTTATTAAAAGTAAGAACAAAGTAAAGTATTCCTTGTTGTTTCCAAACAAAAAAGAAGGAAAGCAAGAAAAAATTTAAAAAAATACATAGTATATAATAGAAGGAAAACAAGTCTTAAAAATCAATAATTATATAAAAATTGGTGATTACATTTCTACTTTATTATAATGAAAAAGTTGGAAAAAAATCATTTAATTGAAAGCGTTTTATTCCTATCTGTAACATTATTCAATAAAATTTTATCAATAATTTTAGTATGAATAAACATTCTTTTTGTACATAATTTATTTTGTTCTAAGTATAAATACAATCTATTCTATTTTAATGCCAAGCACAGAATGGAATTTGTCAAGCTTTGTGTTATCTGTTTAAAATAAAAGAAATAGTTTTAAATAAAAGAAGAAAAAAATATCAACAGAAAAATATGTTTTAAAAACCAATAATCATTTAGAAAATGTGGTTATATTTTTACTGCATTAATAATGAGAAAGTGGCAAAGTTAAAAAAGAATCATTTAATTGAAAGTGTTTTATCACTATCTGTTACATCATTCGATTAAATTTTACAAATAGCGTTATCTGAATATAGACGTTTTTGCAAATAATTTATTTTGTAGATGTAAACTATAAGTATGATTTATTCTATTTTAATGGAAAGCTCAGAAAGGAGATTGCAATACTTAATCTGTTTTTACTATTAAAACTTTTTATAATTTTATTTTTATTATTTAACTTTTATAATTTTTTTATTTTTATTCCACTGTTAAATAAAACTGTATTTATTTTAATTATGAATTTTAGAAGTAAAATGGAAAACAAAATTATTAGAATTCATTTGTTTTTATTACTATTTTTATCTTTTTAATTTTATTTATTTACTTTTGCAATAAATATTTTCAAATCATACCCTATGCAAAAGACTCAGATTTTTCTAAAACTGAGTGACTTAAATTTTATAAACCTTGAAAAATAATTAGTAGTTTGTAACAGTTTAAATAAATAGCATTATTTGGTGTGTATAAAGTAAAGTTATTTATGTAATAAAATTGATAGATGGGTTGAAATCATTGGTAAAGTACTTGTATTTGGATATAGTCATGATTAAAAATAGTTAGATGATTGAAATAATAATAATAATTAAATTAAAGCCGAAATGTATAAAAGGTAATCAAATTAAATTAAGGGGAATGTGATCGTTAAGGAAAGTGGTAGTACAATGCTAATGTGGGATAACAATAACCCAATAGGTTCAAAGGGTCACAAAGTGTGAGGTTTGAACAAATTGGATTAATTGGTATCACCAAAATTAGAATAAGGGTGAGAACTAAGAAAATTAAAGATTAATGATAAATACGATAAAGTCATGCTATATCCAAACAATATATATGATTTAAACAGTAAGCTGATGTTTCCAATAAGAAAAACTAATAAATTCACATTTATGCATGCCCATAACAATAAAAAAAATTACTCACCACATACAGAAGGAAAAAAGGTGATAACTAATAGCTATAAAGGTAAAGCTAAAAAAACAATCACACCAAACTCTCTGTTCAACTAAAAATTTATTTTTGTAAAACTACTTTTCGTAACAAACAAACAATATGATTGCAACACATTTTGTGGCACAGAAAAAATATATCTTTTAAAAGGAAATGGGTGACAAGAGAATTTAAAGAAACCAAAGGTGTCATGCATGAAGTTAAATATAAAAGAACGATTCATTTAACCGTTAAAATAAATATGAAGAGAAAACTTAAATTTGAGAGGGCTTTTAATGTTAAAGAAAATTAAAGGTATAAAATTTTGATTTCAAATTTTACAGAAATTAATTACAGCTATGGATTTAATTTAAAATAAAGGTTAAGAAAAAAAATGTAAAAAAAATCCCTCGATACGGACCGAAGTCCGCATCGCGGAGAATTTAAAAAAGGGTAACCTGCCCGAAGGCTCGAGAAAAAAAAAGCATGTTTCTAAAAAGACTTAAAAATTCCTTAACTGGGGTAGATCAGAAAAACTACGACCAATTAAATTTAAAGAGGCGGAGAGTTTGAAATTTAACGGAAAGAGATTGGTTAGTTAGTCCCCCTAAAATTAAAAGAAGAAAAAGAAAGGCGTTAAAGAGGGGTTGGCTGACTTTCCCCACAGGAAGTGCGATGACCATGAGAAAGGTCAACAAGAAAGTTAAAATTTAAATTGCTAAATTGAAAAAAAGGAATAACGTTTAAAGAAAAATTAAAGGTTTAGGTAAAATTAGAAATTAATTTGTCACTATACATTAAATGTAAATGTGACATAGTTATATCTTTCAAAAAAATATTAGATAAAGTTAGATTATGATGAAAGTTTTACTTGTCTCTAATGACAAGATTCAAATTATGTTTAGATGTATTTTATTGAGATTAGCGTGATTCAAAACTTTTAAGTTAAAAATTTTACTGTTTCCTGCATTGATGAATGAAGATAAAATACGCTGATTTCTTGCATTTTAGATTAGAGCTAGTTTCATCACTTTTACGCCCAAAGAATCAAAATACATGCAGCAAGAACAAAAGTTCAAAAGATCTGTAAGTTTTTTTCTTTCATTTTTTTATTGAAAAAATTTATTTTATTGTAAATAAGATATTTACCATTTTATTTATTTATTTTTACAGATATTTGTGAAAAATGTAAATAGAGTAAAATCTATGCTTTATGGCGTTGTTGAACTACTTAGATTTCTTAATAGTTGTTTTTTATGGGAGTCAACTTTACGCAGCATAACAGCTTTTGTAGTATGTATTGAAAATTTCCTTTTTTTATGTACATGTTATGTACCAATTTCTTTTTTCTTTTTTTAAATGGATTTCTTTATGAGGAAATTCTTGTACTTTTTACTTTATGTTTATTATAATTGTTTCACAATCAATTTTCTAATGTTTATTTTACATTCATTCGAGTGTATTTATGTACACATCAAATATAATAATAATTAATTAATCCTTTTGATGTAAAAACTGTGCTATTTATGTTAATTTCATTATAATAATAATAAGAATGCCAGACAAATTAGTCTATCCATGTTTAATAACTATCATCTATTTATAAGAAACTTTGTTAAAGTTAACGAAAAATCACTTTTCAATTCATTATTTTATATTCATTGTCAGAGGTAGAGAAAACCATCAGGAAAGGATATTCTGCCATATCAGCCAGACTTGAAGTTGGTTTACAGTACAACTAGGCCATTAAATAGTTTCCTTTTTTAACGTCTGACCTGTTTCCAATTACTGTGCTTTTGAACTCACAATCAAAATTATTCAGTTATTAATATAACCATAATAAATTAACTGTATAACTGATAAAAATCTGTGTTTTATTTCGATTAACCTAAAATCACTTTTCAAGCATCAATTTCTAATTCTAATTTAAAGTGATATTTTCTGTGTTTCAAATATTAGTTTAAATAATGTTGTTGTTGTAGATAAAATAATGTATATTTAATTTCTTGTAGGTATTTCTTGTTATAACTTACACTTTTGAATTCTACATGTTGCCTGTAGCTTTGTTAATTCTTTATGTAAAAAATTATGTGATCTATGCCCTCACAGGAAGACAATTAGCTACTAGAGATGAAGATGAAGTAAGATAAATTTTATTTTTAAGTAGTTTAGTCCAATTTATTAATCAAAGACTGATACTGATGCATCGTTCTTGACTTATTATTTATTTATATTATTTCTTTGAAATACATAGCATGTTTATTTTCTTTGTGCAACATGTGCTTACATGTGGTCAAAATTAATTTAAATGTCTAAATCAGGTTTGTTTAAAGGTAAATTTGTTATCAAAATTGCAATTAAACAAAACTATGTTCTTCTTTTACATATGATTTCAATTTTTCATGTAATTTATTTGTTCTTAAGAACTAATGTGTGTTTGCTTTACGCCAAAATAAACAAATTAATAAACAAATATTAATGAATAAATTGGGTTTTAAAATCTAAGTTTTAGACCAAGAATATTATATTCTGATTCCATTTACAAGTTAAGAAAATTTAATTAAATACTCGGTAGGCTTTCTTAAACTAGTTTAAGAAAGCCTAAGTGCACCTTAAAGCTTAAACCTGCGAGTGGAAACATGATATTAGCTTTTTCTTTCCTTTTTTCCTACTTGTTATTTAGGGGATCAGCATCAAATTTACCTAATCAAGTGATTAAAACAAATTTTCATTTTCTAAAATACTAATTACTTTCTATAGTTAGAAGAACTAGAAGACGATGATGAGGATGAAGATAAGGAGGACAAAACGGTAAGTGGTCAAAGATTTATTTCTTATTAAACTCAACTAATCTTAAAGTTTTATCATATCAATACAGTTAGTTCAATTCATTAAACAAAAAACTGAAGTAAAATGTGTGTATATATATATACTAATAATTTTGGAAAACAAAATCATTTTATAAAATCACTTCAAATTGTTTTCAATTTTTATCTACAAATTTTTGTTAATATTTTTTCCCTTTAATTGTTTCTAACTTTTAAAATAATTTTAGAAAGCATATTCTTTTCTGATTTGTTGTTATTAATTGAACTTTTCTGTTCTGTTTACGAACTGAAGATGATAACAGACAGAAAACTGAACAACTATGAACTAAAACAACAACAAAATTTTTAAATTTTACTCTCTTTTTCTATTACTACAGGAAGAAAAGAAATCTTTAAAAGAAAAGTTGCAAGCTGTGCAAGACGCTACTTCCATGATACAAAATATTTTAGGAGAAGTTGCATCATTTGGAGAACGTTGTAAAAAGTAAATTTTAAATTCTTATAAAAAAAATTTATGTTGTTAAAATATATAGAGAAGTTTAAACAAATAGTGGTAATTTAAAATGCTATAATATAGGTTACATTTATTCCAAATGAATAACTTAAACTAAGAGCTCATGAAATGAATTCCTTATATTTTTTAAATTAATATATTAAAGTTTATATTGAATAAATGTTTTTGTAAATGATAAATAAAAATCATTAAATTTGTATTTGACATATTTTATTTTAACATATAACATTTATTACATTAAATTTTCTGTCTTTCCATCCAGCACTTTTAATTATTCAGTGCCCTTTCTCTCATGGTTGGCATTTATGGTATTAGTGGCAGCCACTGTTGTTCTTTACTTCATTCCTGTTCGTTACCTCATTATGGGCTGGGGTGAGTATGTCTTTTAAGATTTGAAATAATCAGATATGTATTTGTTTACTCGTTCAGTGCATATTAGAGTAAAAAGAAGCTGTAAATAGTTTATTGCAATTTGAAAATTACTAAAAAGGCATTTTTAATAAAAGCCTGGTCAAGCAAATATTCAATTTATTTCATAGTACTTAAATTTAAGAGTAAAATTAGAGCAATAAAAAGTTTCTAAATTTTATGACTCTCTTGCAGGCATTAATAAATTCACTAAGAAACTTAGAAATCCACATGCAGTGCCTAATAACGAGATTCTTGATTTCATATCAAGAGTGCCAGATGATGAAGAGAAGGTAAGGAAATATTACATTGTATTTTTTGTGCAACGATACTTGCTATAAATTTTAACAAAAATTATATAAATATTAAAATTGCAAAATTTATTAAATGGTACTGTCAGTATATGAAATAAATGTAAATTTATGAGATGCTTATGGCTTTTGAATTTCTACTGATACCAGACGATACAATTTGGAGAAAAACGTTTGAAGTAGCTCCATGAATGCACTACAATGAAACACTGCCTATTGAAATAACAGTTAATAGACACTTTTAAACTATAAAATTGGCACTAAGGAATATAATTTTTAAATTATAAATATTCATTAAATTGATTCATGTGTGCCTTTTAATTGAAATAATGGTGCATATTCCTTCTTCTATACTACTCTGAGTCCATAGTTATTATCACAATTCAACTTTAAATATATCTGGCCTTTATTTATTTCCACAAAATTTCAAATTTGAATTATTTTTTATTTACACCTGTAAGTTAATAATAGATGCACAATTTCAATAAAACTTAATTTCTTAAATAGATTAAACCATACAGGAGAGATATGAAGCATTTAAAACAAATAAAATTTTCTTTACTTTTTTACTTAACTATTAAAAATTTAATTTCTTTGCATAAAAGCATGCGTCTTTCACGTAACACATGTGAAAACTAAGATCAAAATTTCTAAGATCAAAGTTTTAGTCTAAAAACTGACTTGACCTTACAAGTTACAAATCGGCCACTAGATTCCTTGTCAGAAATTTTTCAGAATTTAGTTTATAGTTTATAAGAGTACTGGTCAAATTAATTACATTTATTATTGCTTTTACATTTTATATTTATAATACAGTATATATGTTATTTTAACTTTAAAAAATATATAGCTACAAATATTTTTAATTCTATTTTATGTAGATTATGTGTAGAGAGTTGAAGCCAATGTTTGTTGATCTAACTGATAGTGAAAAGAAAAAGAAGAAGAAACGTAACTGATCTCCATGAGAAACGATTATTTTTCCATTGTAATCGAATCCATTGAGCCTTTCACGAAACACTTGAAATTGCCAAAGGAATCTCTTCATCTGCTGTGCTGTGATGACTAAATCATTCTAATGGGCGTCACAAAAAAGAAAATTAAATCACTTGCCATTTATCAAAGTCGTTGTTTGTTGGTCTTTAGCAATTCTCGAAATGTTGCTGTTCTGTTTGCTCATTGGTGTTCTCATATCTACCGTATTTTAACTATATTCTAGTCAATTGTTGATAAATCTTTATATCTAGTCACTTGAGTAGCATTACAAAAGTTGACTAGCTTATACTATTTTTGTACGATTTTGTCGTCCTATTCATCCAGTGAGAAGTTACGTAGAGTCTTCAAGATGATTTAAATTTCACTCTCTCTACTTGACTTGAATGTACTTAGACTTAAAGCCTTCATTGATGCATTTCGATGTAAAAAGCACTAGATGCAGAAATGTAGTGGACAAGATTTTTGTTTAATTATAAAAATTTTACTTTGTTCCACATTGTTTTCATTTGCACAAATTATGCAAGTTTTTATACTTTATGTTATTATTGTCAAACAAAAGCTTATCTTTATGATTTTATTTTATGTTGAATATTGCTTAATATAACATTTTTCTGTGATTTTATGTATAATTCTATTTTGAAGGAATGTTTTTTAAAATGCAAACACAGTAGAATCCATTTATAACGTGACCACTATTTATGAGATTCCAGATTTAAGGAGCGAAACGGGATGTTTTGTGTGGTACGACCTAATAAATGTTTTTAAGGAATTAAGAAAATTTTCTGTATAGAATAGTAACAGAAATAATGAAAATCTTTAAAAAATGTACAGTACATAATTTAGCTGTTTAAAGTTATTAAATCTATTTCGAAGCATAATGATATGTTTAAAAAAATTTGTTATTCAGAAATAGTTAAATCATTTTTAAAAGATATCAACAACAGGTTGCAATTCAGAAAAAGGAGGAATACCACACAGATTTGACACACCACACAGATTTGACACTAAGTGAACCCATTGTCTTGTGCCCCTAAGATTTTGAGGGGGTTTGAATATTAGCAGAGAAGAATCTGAGTAGTTGCTAAAGCATTTCCGTATTCACATGTAAGAAAAGTTCCTTCCAGCTTTTAACCTTTTCTTGAAAGCATGTCTTCTATTCAGCTGTTTAAAACATTATGGAAAAATCAAAATTATGAAACTCTAGGTTAAAGAAGAGGAAAAATTTCTTCAATATGTAAAATGAAGCAATTCATGTAACTTGTTAATGTTTATTCTTTTACTAACCATAAAGTCTTAGAAAGTGACCAGATTTATCATTCTAACTCCCAAGAGTCTCTTGTTATATAGGGTTCTACTGTACTGATATTGAAATAAAAAGTTTTAATTTGTAAAACTTATTTTATTGAACTTACTTAACTTTTTTTTAAAAAAATTACAACTTTCTCTCCAAATCAATCAGTTTCAGACCTAATGTTTCTGAATCTAGCTATATTTGCACATTTTCTACTTTTAATAAATTAAATTTTAAAATAAGATTTTAGTTCATCAAAATCAATTCATGTCATGTGGTATTTTGTAAAAAATTGACTTAAACATGCATGCTTACTTTAAGGAGCTAACGTTATATTTGAAATTAAGTTTACAACGAATTTTTTGGAGCTAAATTTTTCAATCTTGAACTACATACAGTGCGAAAAATTACTTTTTTTAGACTTGCGATAATAAAAATTGCTGTTGTAAATAATTTGAATTAATTAATAAAAAATTCTTACTGCATGAGCACAATATTATAGACTTTTGGTGGTGCTAATATACCGAAATTTCCCGCAAATCCTCTTTTACACATCTGCAAAGAACATACTTCATATAACAATATTGTAATTGTATCAAATAGATTATATATTTAATTACTATTTTGCTTTATTCTAATGAAGAAAAGCTGAGGAAATTTTATGTAACTTATACTTAAAAGTACTTAATCTACAACTGTTTGTATACATTTTGAATTGACAATAGTTTAACATATTTATTACTGTATAATATTGGTTATTTCAAAAATTTAAGTTATTTCTCATAAACATTATTATTTTTATTTTGCAAGTTTTCTTTTGATTCATTCTTACAAGTAAAAAATTTATCTAAATCCTCCTGTATATTCAAGTAATACTGTATTCACCATTTTGTGTGAAACTTATTCCCATCATATTTTGTAATTGCATTAATGTATATATTGCTCATTTTGAAATACTAAACAGCTTAAGCACTTTCATTCATTATTGATTTTTTAATAATGAAGTTTAAAAAAAAAGAAAATAATGAAAGTATAATTAAATTTTATATAACTTAAATGCTTATGTATATAGAACTTTATCATTTACTCTACTCTGCTATATTGGAATCATCGAAAAATTGACTTTTTCTTAGAGTAGTGAATTAAATTACATTCATTTTTTGTAATTTCATACCTTTTTTTTAATTATCATAACCTCATGTTTTTATTTTAAGTTTTTTTTACCTTGACTGATTCAAGTTTTGAGTGAATTCCTCTACCTTATTCCCTTTTAAAATATTTCTATCAAGTTTTAAATACATTTTAATTTATATAAAACATATATTTGTGTGTGTCATTTTTTGTGTACATTTCACATTACATTATTACTTACACATTAAAATAAATAAAACTTAAAATGAAACAGAAAGTAGTGTTATCAGAGCTATTGCTGGACTTTGCAAGACTCTCTTCCTGTGGGTTCCCTCATTAACCGTAACAGTTAGGTCGAAATTAAAACTTATTACGGTTTATTTATAATTTTTCTTTAAACAGTTCATTATTATTACTTTTTAAATTTCTTTTAACTCAAATTTAAGATTATACAGATTCAGAACTCTATTTGAAGAATCATATATAATTTTTTTTTTTTACTTTTATAATTCTTTTCTCATGCAGAGTCCGTGGAATTGTTTAAATTGTTGGTGGTTCAGTTTTAATCTCTACAATGCCCCCTTTTCATATTTTCTACATCCTTAGTCCAGGGTGCCTAATAATATGAACCACGAAGTTCATTGTTAGATCTTCATCGAAACTATTAGAATGAATTATGATTTTTTCCGATGTTTCATTATAAAGAACAGTCAACATCATATTCGTTATATGGGATGTAAAAAAAAGTTAGAAACTGTCAAATATCTCAGTCCTTAGGGGGTGGGAACCCCCTAAGGACTGAGAAATTTAAAATAGGATAAAAACTGTTCAAAATGGAGAATATTTAACTTATAAGATTTAATACATAAAAATAGACATGTCTCAATCAAATTAAGGGTTCATATTTAAGTTTCAAAATTTTCCTTCTACGGGTAGGATAGAAAGATTAAGTTTGATATCATTTAATAGCTTTTAAAAAAATATTAAATATGTCTAATTTCACTTTTTCAATACAATGTGTATTTCTTAAAATTCCAAACTGTTCTTACACCCTGAATATATATATATATTTCAAATTTTCCCTATCATTTTGTTTAAGCAACGATTTATTAGCTGCAAGCTCTTTGAGAATGAAAATTTTATATTTAAGAATTCTGATTGAATTAATCTTCTAAAAATTTTTATGTTTATTTTATTTACAAAAATTGATGATTTTATTGGTTCTACAATAAATAGTTTTAAAGAGCCACATCTAAGTTATCTATCGAACACAAATAGGATATTTTCTCTGATTGTTGAATATTTAAATTCTTAAGTTTTATTATAAAAACTATGACTTTTTTTAAAAAAATTAAATTTTCATAATTATAAAAAAAAAATGAATCTATATGGTGAGATACCTTTTCGAGTCCTAGAAATTGCAGAGAACAGGGCAAGTTATGTTTCGGGCTTTTAACCCATTTTATGCAATGCTAGGTGTAATTAACACATGTACAAATTATTAAGATTTATAACTACTTCCAATATTATAAAAGTATTCTCAGTTTTAAATTAGAAAAGGAAGACAAGACATAACTAAGCATTGACATCTTAAGTTACTTAAGCCACTTTTTTTTTTTTGTAGGTGTGAGAGTGTTTTTAGCATACATAGTTTTAAAAAAAACTTTCATGCTTGTGAACATAGAGTATAACTGCAGAATTAAGCCTTACAACAATAAAAAGTAGTTTAAATAACCATGAATGATATAATCAAAAAGAGTTTCTCTTTTTGATTGAGTAAGAATATTAAAGTGAGAATATTAAATTTTAAATAACCTGAAAAAATTGGCCAAATTGTTGACAAAAAATAAAAGGTGAAAGTTACTGAAAAATGGGTAATTGCAAAAAAACATTGAATGAAACAATTTTCAACTTATAAAATTTTCTTTATATTTCTCATCTAATCCACTTAAATTCAAACAGCAACTATTATTATTTAATGATAGTATTTGAAATAATTTACAAGAAAAAAAAAAAGTAAAAAGAAACTTTCTTTAACCCCTTTCCTTCGTAACATATATTTCATTATTTTGTTTTAATTTAAATCAAAATTTTTTAAAAAAAAAAATAAAAAAAACATATTTTAGCATTTTAATAATTTATGTTTATGAAATACAGCATGAAACAATGATGTCTTTTTCTGCATTAAAGATAAAATCTTCCAAACAATAAGTTTTCAAATTTGCAGCTATTTAGATTTAAGAGAAATAGTTATTCATCATTGAAATTTAATTTAGAAAATCAATTATTGAAAAATTTAAATGAAAAAAAATATTTTCAAATTACTTTTTTTAGGCTTTATATTTTAGTACGAATATAATTCTGATAATCAAGCAAATTTTTTTAGTAACTATTAGACTGCTTTTAAAATTGAAGAATACCAAAATATATTTTTGCATGTAATTAGAGAGTCAGAAAAAAAAAATATATAAAAGAAACACTGGCGTCCAATCTGAGTCAAAGAGGCTAAAAATCTTTGAACTGTCAGTGAAATATACTTCATGGATATATTCTCAAAAATCAATAACAATATTATTCAAGTAAACAAACATGTAAGAGTAGATAAATAAAGCAACTTACCTGTGTATTTCCTTACTACACCATTTCTTAAAGTTTATCAATCAAAGATCAAAGCATGCAACAGTTTAGAAAAATCTACCTAGATACAGGAAATTACATAAATTAATAATTTTCCTAATTAGAATTAGACATATGTTTGTAATTCATTAATAAAATTTTTAAACATAAAAAAATATTCGACAATTTAACTGAATATTGAAAAAAACCTTAGTAAATCTTGGTTTAATTAGCTAACATTTCATGGTTTATAAAAACAATGCTTTAAATAGTTTAAGTCCTATTTGAGCAGTTTATTAAATATTAAAAAAAATTATCTTTAAGTAAACATAACATTACTCAAAATAAAAAAATGCCATCTCCCAAGTAAATAATATTTACTATTTTCAAGTAAAGGTTTTAAATAAATTTAAAAGAAAGTTTAAAATCCTATGGTTAAAATTACTTCAACTTCTTTTCAATAAATATGAATTTAACATTTCAAGAACTGCATTTAACATTTCAAGAACATGCAAAACTATAGATTTTTATATTTTTTTCATATAACCCTTGGTTATGCTTTCTAATATGCTTGAAACATATGGGAGAAATTTAATGACAAAAACTATGATATACTGACATGAATGCAATTTTTTTTTCATTTATATATACAATAAATCTAAGCATCTAATACTCAATTTTGTTTCATATATCTTTATTTAAAAACATTTACATCCTTATCACTAATAGTTTAGTTTTATTATGAGGAATTTTAGTAATTAATCGCAAGACTTAACGCATTTGAGAGATATCTATATTTAACGTTTAAGGTAAACACTTTTGCCACCTTGTAAAATCAATTTTGAAAGCCCTTACTCAAAACAGTACATACACATTAAAGGTAAAGGGGTTTACATAGAAGTGTTGATCAAACCAGTTGCGTATAATTAAGAAACCACATTAGTCTTATAGTTGAAAAAAATCAAAATTCCAGTTTTTCCTAAAATTATGGACTCGATAAATAGAGAACGCAATGAGGTTTCGTTATTCGCAATAAAAAAATATTATAAACTATACAATATTTGATTAAATAATTAAAATATTATAATATAATTTCAGAATAAGAACCACTCAGAAGGAAATTTAAGTATAGAAAGGATTTGAAATTCATTTACATCACTGGTTTTTCTAAATTCAATCATCTAAATCAGTGGTTTAAATACTTATGTGCTTTATATACCCTAAGAATGATAATTTTGTATTTTACATATTCTTTTTGATTATTAATGGGGAACAAAAATAAAAGTTTCATGAATCACATGTTTTGATCATTTACTTTAATCAAAGCTTTCTACATCAGAATAAAACAATATTGGCAAGATATTGCTTTTTTTAGAAAATCTGATAGTTTTCAAAACCTTAGCATCCAAAACAGGTATGAGTATGGAAAAATACTGAAAATAAGAATTTCATATGCACAACACATTTTTAATAACTGAAAAATATTCAAAATTTGAGCAAGAAAAAAAAGAGTAAACAGGAACTTATTTTCATAAAATATTATTAACATTTTAATAAAAAAATATATTGATGTAAATTTTTTTTCATCATCATCAATGGCCCGATAGCCCAAAGTGGGCCTTGGCCTTCTCAACAAGTTTTCCCTGATAGCGTTTTCCAGTTTTTAAGACCAAAAGGTCTTTTCCAAGGCCATTTATTCATGAAAATTCAGCCTGCCTCTTTTTTGTGTGCCAACAGGTATGGCATTTGTGGTATGATCTTTATTCATTCTGATAAAAGTGGCAGGCAAATAAAAAAAATAATGATATGCGATATTTTAATCACCCGAATATGAATCTTGATGTGTACTTATAAATTGTGTGAATAAAGATCGCGATGTGTAAGTTTAAATCGTAAGAATAAAAATCGTAATGTAGCATAAAAAACTCTTCTTTTTTTTCGAGAATTCAAAAAGCAAAACCTTCTTTGAAAAGGCGGAATTTTTCTTTTCATTTAACTGAAGAAAAAAAAAAAAAAACAGGTTAAACTCCTCTATGATATATATACCAAAAATGAAACTAGAAGACTAGGCATTAATTTAGTAATACTTAACCTTATGTTTAACCCAACCCAAGAAAAACTTAAAGAACATTTTACTTTTCCACAAACAGGTAATTAGTAAAATATATTTGACATAATAGACAGGGCTAGATGACAAGGTACCAGAATTCATTTGGACTCACAAAACAGAAGAATTGATTAAACAGTTGACCATTTAGATTAGTCAGTCAAAAAAAAATTCACCTGTAAGCTTCATTGTGGGTGGTGGTTTTGAAACTAGCTCTGAATGATAATTTTGCTGCAGCTAAAATTAAATATCTTCAGTTCTTTTTTTTTCTCACATCATTTCTTTCACAGTTAGTTGTCCATCAGCAATATTGAACTGGCTTTCTATCTATCTCTGAATGATAATTTTGCTGCAGCTAAAATTAGATATCTTCAGTTCTTTTTTTCTTCTCACATTTCTTTAACAGGTAGTTGTCCATCTGCAATAGGGAACTGGCTTTCTATCTATCTACCCTGTTAATAACAGACTAGATAAACAGGTCTATAAAAGCTTTTTCTCCCTAGACATACGCGATGCAAATATTGTAACCTCTAATTGTGGTTTAAAGTCAAACCAACAAAATTTACAAAGAGGAGAAAATATCAGGAAAAAATATATAAGGCTCCAATTTTTTTGTCAGACTTAATGAATTCCAACACAAAAAAGTATGAAATAAAGTAATTTAAAAAAATTCTATGATTCTGATAGAAAAATTTAGAAATGAGTTATTGGACGTAACTATGGAGATATAGTCTCAGTTAATTTTCCAGATATAATGTTCATTCTATGCAACATTTATCTTAAAATGTGTGGGAAGAATTTCTTGTAGATGTTTTAATGAAAGCAGATGAGAAGTCAGTTGTCTTTGTAAAATAATAACATCAAATAAACTGCAGGCTTCTCATCTGTTTTTATTAAAAACAATACATTTTATTGTTTTTATTCAGCAATGCATTTTACAATAAATTCCAATATGAACTGAACATAATACATGTAAAATTAACTGAGATTACATCAACTCATTGTCTTACAAGCTACAACCACTATTTAATTTCTTTTCTCTTTTGCAGGTAGTTTTTTTTTAAATTTATTGAAATTACATTGTTTTACGATCTAATTATTGCAGAAAATAATATAAAATCCATAAAAAGAAATAACTACATGCAGTAAGATCACTACTTAATTTCAAGGTAAAAAGCATTAGGGAGTTTGTCAGCATACATACCTTTACTCTAGTGAGGAAAAGTTTGCCAATTTGGAAACACCTAAACAACATTATAATTGCAGCTAATAATAGAAAATTTACTTTTTATCCTTCAGAAATAAAATTTTAAGGTATGTATGTGACTTTTCAATTACTATCCATATCAGAATCTAATTAGTGTGAAGATTTTTTCCCCATAAAAATATGTTTTTGTTGTTTAGGTCTTGGAATAAATTGCGTACTTGTGAAAGAACAATAATTGGTGGTTAATAGAACAATAACTTCTGCTGGGTGACAGCGAAAGATATACATACAAATTTGCAGTCATGATCATTTTATCCAATTTTACATTAATTTCTTCAAAAGATTTCTGAGTTATGCATTAGTTAGAAAAAACTGATTTAAAAAGTGCAAAAAAATGAGTGATGTAAATATACAATCCCCTTGATCCTTACGCTATAAAAATTTATAGCTAAATTAACTTCAGTGAAATTTCTATGCTTTAATGAGACTTCTTCAGTACATTTGAAATATTAATCTTAAATATAGTTGTACTTAAATATAGTTTAATCTTAAATATAGTTATAGTATGGTAAGAACTCCCCCCTATACAAAGTCTGAGGCCATCTGCTGCTATGGAAACAAGAATAGCGCTTTTCAGGGAGGGAAGCTTCTCTTCACTCTAGGACTAACTCAATAGACAGAAGAAAAAGATTCCCTTTCTCTCGCCTACCCAACCGAAAACCTGTCCTAAACAATGACCCCACACCCCTACTTGAAATAGTTATACCTCGTTATTATAGTCACCGCCACAGTTCCAGATGAATGCCTAGGGGAGTTTTTACTTCAGACATACTCTACATCATGTTTAATAATAAACAAAGACAGCTTTTAGCTTAATAATACAAGTCAAATTTGAAAAAAGAAATTTTAAAATTTTTTACTTGCGATTAATTTAACATTTTATACTTGCTATGCTTTTTGAAAAAACATCGCAAGTTTAATCGCAAAATAAAATAATTCATTAAAGATTTACTCCTATAGTAATTTATACAAAAATTCATTCACATATTCATTCATAATTTTGTAAAACAAATTTTAAAATGTCATGCTAGCAACTGATGTAATGCATATCAGTTTTTCAAACGATAACTTTTTCATTCTTTTACAAAACAAACCTAATTTTTGTCGCGTAAAGGATTAAAATAAGTGAATAACAATGTTTAAAAAAATCTAACATTGTTAAGATTCTGTTATTTTAACTGCATCTTGCGAAAACAAGTGAATCTAATTCAATAAGTCCTTCTGTTAAGACGTAGGAGAAAGAGTGCAACACTTACCGATGTTTTTATTTGGAGGAGGGAAGGGGATACAAGGGGAATTTAAAGTGTAATTTCTCTTTTTTTTATCAAAATGGATATAACTAACGAACCTTTAAGAGGAAAATGTTTAAATTTTCGCTCTAAGCTCAGTTAATGTAGCTGTCACAAAATTAGCTACGTGTCTGAAATATGCCAGTCATTTTTTTCAAATTTTATCAATTGAAAGAGCCTTTCTGAACCTTAGATTTCCCAAGGTGCCCTATTCATCAACTTTTAATAAGCACAAAAGGTAAAATAGTTAATACTATTTAATATACTGGAAAATTCTTTTTAGCTGTAATATTAATTAATTACAATTTAAACTTATAACTTGAGACAGTTATAATTTTAAACTGGATACACCTACAAGCAATAATGCTTTAAAAGAAATAAATAATTTATACTTCAAAAATTTAAAAAAAAAATTTATTTGGAGAGATTTTTCAACTGCAAAAATTATAGATTTTTATGAGCCCAGATAAGGCAACATTAAAACTTTTTAAATAATTAAAAATGAGACTGATAATAAACACTTTGCACTTTAACAAAACTAGTTTTTTTTTTTTTTCATTTAGAGATTTTAGAATGAGTATAGAGGATACTAGCCAAAGACAGGCTTAACTTGACCCAACAGTTATGAACAGTGGAAATCTCAGAAGAGTTTTAGGAATATTATTTCTAATTTTAAATTTATTTTTTTTTTCAAATAAAATACTAACTGTAAAAATCTTTTAATTTTGGCAATTTTTTTATCTGTCAAATTATCAAGCAATGTGTCCAAGAAAATATTTTTACCACACAATACCACACGCCTTTTAGTTCAATTTATATTTCACTCGCAACCGATTTAAAATAATATAGATTAATTTGAAAATAGTCTGCTTAAAAATCAATTCTTTCATAACTAATGCAATAAAAAATTAAGACTTAAAAAATTTAACATTCTTCTTAGGCACTACAGCCAGTTATCGGCCATGGCCATCTTAGTCATTTTACCTTATCTATTTGATGCTATATTCTCCTATTCTATATATTTCTATTCTATTATATCTTCCTATATTCTATATATTTCTCCATCTATTAACTAACAAGTCCTTTAACCACTTTCTATTCTCAAGTCCTTTAACCAATTTTCTCCTCTCTATTAACTCTCAAGTCCTTTAACCACTTTTCTACTCTCTATTTCTCCATCTATTAACTCTCAAGTCCTTTAACCACTTCTCTACTCTATCTAACCATCTTGTTCTAGGTCTTTTTCCCTCTGGTGTTTGAAAGGTTATTTTTTAGCAGGATTTTCATCACTATATCGAAATACATGTCTTAGCCCCACCATATTTGAGAAATCTTGATCATATTTACTATCAGTGTTTTCACTACAGCGCGAGAACGCGAGAATCTCGCATATTTTTTTCTTTTCTCGCATTAAAAAATGATTACCGCGAGAAATTCGCGCATTCTATAAATCAATTTCAAAATTCACGAATTTCTCGCATTTTGGANACCACTTCTCTACTCTATCTAACCATCTTGTTCTAGGTCTTTTTCCCTCTGGTGTTTGAAAGGTTATTTTTTAGCAGGATTTTCATCACTATATCGAAATACATGTCCTAGCCCCACCATATTTGAGAAATCTTGATCATATTTACTATGTTAGGTTCTTTGCATTTTGATTGTAATTTATGATTGTATTGTAATTCTCCAGGTTTTATTTTTCTCTTACTGCACCAAAATTTTTTCTTAATATTTTTCTCTCGAAAGTCATCAGTTACTCTTTGTCTGCTTTGTTAATTGCCCTGCAATCGCTGTTAAATAAATTATTGGTCTCACTAGTGATTTGTTCACCTGTATTTTTGTTTCACAACTTATATATTTAAATTTGAAAAAAAAAGGAGAAAATCAGTACATTAATTCAAAATAAAACACATTAGTGCATTTAATAATCAGTATTTATTTCCAAAGTGCACCTAAGATAGCATTTAAAATACCTTTCTAACAACTTGCAATCTTCTATTTTAATGAAAATACTTCTAGCCAAAAGAAACATTCACATAAGTTTAAAATTGTTTTTTAGTTAAAATTCATCAAAATACACAAAGCACATATACAATTGATGAAATATGAGACCAAAATATTAATTCAGAAAACATTAAAAAATTTCTTCTCAAATTGAAAAAGTAATTAATAAATTAATTGAAACCACCAATTATAAACGAAAGATATGTTTTATCACAGAAATAGTAAATTAGCAAAAATAAGACTTGCAGAAACATTTAAATATTTTCTATACCTATAAAATATTCTCTTAAATAATTTCAAACAAAAATCTTGCATCAATCTTCAATTTACTTATATGTTTAGTAAAATCAAATATGACGCATATAACATAAATAAAGGAATCACATGGACCCAATTATAATAATTTTGATAAGATTAAATAATGTTAATAAATAAACTAGGATTACGTGCCAATCTAAATTATATGTCTAAAAACATTAAAAATCAAATAAACATTTAACTTCAAATTAACAATTCCCAACAAATTCAAAAGATGTCTTAATAATTCAAATTTTTGTTATTTAACTTTATAACACTAAAAGAAAAAAATAACCAAAATGAATCAATTTGAGGTAGTATAAATTGCTTATCTTCATTCTCATAAAACATTTTTAATCATAATTTCAAAATAAAATTTTACTTGCTTTAGTACACAAAAGGTTGTAAAAATGACAACTATTACATTTAACTACTTCAGAAATGTTAAGTTTATAATCATGACAATAGAAAATTCTTAATTATAAAAGCACCAAATATTTTTTAAATGTTTCTTTTAGCAAATTAAACAAGCTTGTTAGTGAATATTTCACATTAGAATGCAGGATGGGGGAAAATTTGTTAATCCTAAGAAACACTCGTATCATTTTTCAAAATGAAGATTAGGCAAAGTTTCTTCCGCAAAGTGATTAAAATCGTTCATTCCTTTCTTTGCTGAAGACGTAAAATCTTCTACGACAGATATTCCCTTCTTAGCAGTTACTGTAATCTCGTCCATTCCTTTTACAGTTTTATGAGTCAATTCTTGAACTTCATTATTTATTTTACCTATTACCCATTCCATTGCTTGGCGACCTTTATTGGCATTAGAGGATATGGTTTTTGCTAAGTACTCCTCAATATAACTACTCAATGGAATGTTCTTAATTGTAACCACAGCTTCTTGCTTTAAAAGTGTACAATTTTCTTTAGACGGATGTGGACTATAAGTAAGTTTCTCAATAACAGATACTTCATTACAAAATGTTAAGTTCTTTGTTAATAAAGTCATAACTTTTTCTTTGGGATTAACTTCAGAATGTTCACTGGCATAACACGTTTTGTCTGCACCAAGGAGTCTAGAGGCCCAGGATGGTAAACCCCATTTGGAACTTATAAGACGATGGGTCTTAAGAACTCCATTTGATATTTGGCGATCTACTATATCTATGGCTTCTACAGCAGGGTTCATGGGATTTGGGTATTTTCTCCAAGCTGCTTGGGTAACAGTTTCCCAACGATGTTGAAAAGTATGTTCTGAAGTCCAAATTTTCATTTTGGAAAAAGAAACAATAAATTATGCGTACAAATAAAGAGAGTTGTTCGAAAATGTGAATTTAGTTCAATTGACAGGCTCGAACCATAACAAGCATCAACAAAATAAATAGAGGTGACAATACTTCTGAATAAACTAAGTTCTTTTGCCCTTCAAGTTTTAGGCAAAGCAGCAATTTGAATAAAAATACAAGTAGCAATTGAATAAAACTCCAAGATGACCTTAGAGCAGCAACCTTGTACATTCCCTCTAGGTACTGACGAATAAAAACGATGACGCAAAAGTAGGCGTTTAGTCCGTCACAAATAAAGAGAGGAATAAAAGTTGACCACCATGACATTGCAATTATTTTTTCGAGCTTGATTGTTACGAGCACAGAGAAGACAGTCACTGCAACAAGATTGAGAAGAATTTCTATCATAGTTAAACCGAGCCATCTTACCAATTCTCGTAGGGTAAAGATCATTACTTAGCATTATAAAAATCTTGATTATAGGTCATAAGTACTTATGTTAAATCCAAACACTTTGAAATATTAATTAAAATGGGGTAAAGTTCGTTAAATTTTAACCCTATTTACTTAGTTAAATTGGTAAATATTATTTGACCTTCTGAGCAGAAGACCAATATGACCGCAGCCATTTAAAGGAAAAGATAGAAAGGAAATATTCTGCAGTTAAAGTTATAGATTTATGAAACCGAAAGTCCCAGAGAAGATTAAAGGTTTATTCTCACTGCATTCATGTATCCTGAGTGCAGTTAAATGTGTGCATCAAAGTCAATTGCCCGGATGTTGTCATCTCCTTGTTGCCATTTTGTAGTAAAAACTATGGTTTAAATTTAGTTTCCAATTTCTTTTAAGATAGAGACCCAAGATCCTGGAGATCAAGTGAGTAGAAGTAGGCAAACGATAACGTAAACAACTCTCATCTGGAAAAATTCTTTACCAAGATAACTGTATTAAAACATACATTAATTAACCACCCCGGGTTAAGAAACGTTTTAAAAAATTGTTTTTGATTTGCAACTTTTTAGATCAAATTTATAAGCCCGCGTATTCATAATATCACACATGCAAAGTGAATTGCCCTCGTAGCAATGGAAACAGTGTAGAAAGCGTTTTTAAAAAGTTATGCTGATCTAATTCATAGATTATCTTCTTTACACTGAAAAAAAACCGATGCGAATGATAAAATATCTTTTTGCTGACATTTAATAAAATTCATATTGTGAGTGCATAAATATTTTTTTAAAAAATATTGTGTTTTCTGTGCGATTTATATAATCAATAAACTATTCATTCAGTGTGTGAAAATTCTCCATGCGTAAAGGAGATATTATTATTAAAGGCATCTCATTCTATGTAGCAACACTAGCAGCAATTAAACTCTGTGCAATGTGTGTCATAGTTGCAATGATATTCTAACAAAAACAATTTTTTTATACATGAAAATTTAATGTTTGAGGTGATAAGTTTCTAATTGTAATTCATAATTATTCTTTGTTTATTATAAAACATTTTATTTTTGTTCTGAAAATTGTACTAAAAGAAGTAGTTTCATATCAATGTTTTGTGTTCATAATATGGAAATAATTTAATTAAGCAGTCACTGTAATAAATTAATCAAGGAAAAAAGAATAATTTGGTTTAAATTACACTTTAAAAGAACTTTTCGTGCAGTGCATTATTAAGCAGTTATAAATAGATTAAAATTTCATATTACAATTACTGATTACAGTTGTAGATAATTAAGCTTTGTTTCACTTTCATAAAATAAGCACAATAAAACATATATTTATACACAATAAATATAAATTGTGATTTTTTTGAATATTTGGACTGAGGAAATATTTTGGGGATTCAGTTCCTGCAATTTAGTACTCGTAAATAGAATTAAACTTTGTTGACTATAATGACTTATGTTAATGAATCAGAGCTTTTCTTTTGCATGATAGAACATTAATATAAAAATTGGAAATTGTTATTTCTTTTTTAAGTCTTTATAGATAATTTCAAACCTTTAAAGTCAGTTAAACTGGAAAAAAAAATTTCTTATTTATAATGAACTATATTTCAGCAGTGTCTTTGTTAATTTAATACAAATGCATTCAAATTTGATAATTTCATGTTTATAATACTTAATATCATTAAGTAAAATAATTTAGTTTTGTATCTTGGTATGTTCGACAAAAGAGAAATATTAAAGTTGGTTGTGAAAAATTAAAATTGTTTAAATGTCAATATAATTTAAATTAATGCTTTCACAGATGCAACTATTAAGAAATCATATACCTGCTGTAAGGTGATCATATTTCTACAGTATTATATTTTACTTAATTAAAAATTTAGTCCAAATAAGCGACTTGATACAGCATGATCTTTTTTTGTATCATATATTATTAAGGGCCTAATTAAATTCAGAATAAGTATCATCCTGTAAGTAAACCTTATTCTTGTTATTGCAGCAAGAGGTTTTTAGGAAAAAGTCCGATTAAACACTGTAAAACTCATACTGGTGAGAATACTTTTTCTTGTACTATATGTAATAAGAGTTTTTCAGAAAAAAGTAACATGACTAAACACAGTTGTGCTCATACTGGTGAGAAACTTTATTCTTGTAGTATATGTAATAAGAGTTTTTCACTAAAGAGTAATCTGACCAATCACAGTCGTGTTCATACTGGTGAGAAACCTTATTCTTGTTATATATGTAACAAGAATTTTTCACGAAAAAGTAATATGGAAAGACACAATCGTATTCATACTGGTGAAAAGCCTTATTCTTGCAGTTTCTGTAATAAAAGTTTTTCATTAAAAAGTAATCTCACTAAACACGATTGTGTTCATACTGGTGGGAAACCTTATTCTTGTAGTATATGTAATATGAGTTTTTCAGTAAAAAGTGATCTGAAAGAACACAATCGTGTTCATACTGGTAATAAGCCTCATTCTTGTAGTATATGTAAAAAGAATTTTTCATTAAAAAGTAATCTGAAAGCACACTATCGTGTTCATACTAGTAATAAGCCTTATTCTTGTAGTCTATGTAATAAGAGTTTTTCGCTAAAAGGTAGTTTGAAAACACACAGCCATGTTCATAGTGGTAATAAGCCTTATTCTTGTAGTATATGTAATAAGAGTTTTTCGCTAAGTGGTTGTCTGAAAAGACACAGTCGTGTTCATTCTGGTGAGAAGCCTTATTCTTGCAGTTTATGTAATAAAAAATTTTCAGTAATAAGTAATCTGAGAAAACACTATCGTGTTCATACTGGTGAGAAGCCTTATTCTTGCAGTTTATGTCATAAGAGCTTTTCACAAAAACTGATTCTGAATCAACACAGTCATATTCATACTGGTGATAAGCCTTATTCCTGTAGCATATGTAATAAGAGTTTTTCACATAAAGGTAATCTGAAAGAGCACAGCCGTGTTCATACTGGTGAGAAGCCTTATTCTTGTTTATGTAATAAAAGTTTTTCATTAAAAAGTAATCTGAGAAAACACTCTCGTGTCCATACTAGTGAAAAGCCTTATTCCTGTAGCATATGTAATAAGAGTTTTTCACAAAAAGGTAATCTGAAAATGCACAGCCGTGTTCATACTGGTGAGAAGCCTTATTCTTGTAGTTTATGTCATAAGAGTTTTTCACGAAAAGGGTTTCTGAATGATCACAGCCATGTGCATACTGGTGATAAGCCTTATTCTTGTAGTATATGTAATAAGAGTTTTTCAGTAAAAGGTAATCTGAAAAGACACAGCCGTGTTCATACTGGTGAGAAGCCTTATTCTTGTAGTGTATGTAATAAGAGTTTTTCACGAAAAGGTTGTCTCACTAGACACGGTCGTGTTCATACTGGTGAGAAGCCTTTTTCTTAGTTGGCTTATTAAACATATTAAGTAGTATAGATTGTTTCATGAAATCAATTTCTTGTTCTTCAAGGCAAGTCATTTAACTATTTACCGTTCATAAATTTTTTTAATCGCATTTGAATGTTTTTATGCATATCTTGGACCAAAAATTAAGTTTTTTTTTTAATTCGAAAAATTATTTAACTGAATAAATTTATTTAATAAGGAAATATGCAAATGATTTTAATTTGTCCTTTTGGTTAAAATAAAATTCACTGTATTTAATTTTATACTTATGCTGTGTATTATAACATAATGATAAAGAAATTAAGTTTAAAATATTTTTCAAAGTTATGTTTTAAAAATTATTACTTTTCAGAGGTCTGCCTAGGCCTAATTTACTACCGTTTAGCGGTACCTTCACAAATTCAACTTTAAGAAAAACGGTAGTTTCACAAATTCAACTTTACGAAAAACGATAGTTTCACAAAATACTTTTTCTTAAAATTTTATTTTTGTATGCCTTAAGAAACGATAAAATCATATTTTTACCATATTTTTGTGTTGATTTTTCAATATGATTTTTAATTTTTCGCAAATTATGTCTAAATTTTCACAAAACAGGTACCTCTCAGAAAAACCTAGACAGACCCCTGCTTTTGGTACAATTTCCATATCTTGTACAAAATATATTTCTATTTTTGTTTATAGACATTTTTAAAAAAATAAGCTTACTTTAAAATTGCATTTGCAAGTTTTTTAATGAAATTTTATAAATTTGTAAAATAAATTCTTTAAAATGTATTTTATTTTTTAAGAATATAATAATGATGTTCATGTGAAGTGATTTATCGTCACATTTTATGTAATGTAAGGTTGTTCAACTTTTTTAACTATCTTGTTCCTAATGTTAAATAATCGATTTTTTGTTGTGCGTGTAATAAAATATTTTTACAAAATAGAGATAGCTTTCTGGTTGCTCATAGTTGTGTTTATGATGGTGTGATACACTATTGTACATTATTGTTACATTATACAACATATGAAAAGTTGAATTCATAAGATTGAATAATCTAACTTTTGTATGGTGTGAGATGATATTGTACTTTTTGTGAAATGAGATTACTCAGCACTTTAAAAAGTTGAATTTATAAGGCTGGATAATGTAATTTTTTTTTTCTTTTTTATGTGTATGTGTAAAATAAGATATTCTCACAAAATAGCGTTCTGATTGTTCACCGCCGTGTTTATTATGGTGTGATTTACTATTGGACATGATGCGATGTATGAAAAGTTGAATTGATTGGGTTGAATAACCTAACTTTTGTACTTGGGTGAGTATTGTATTTTGAACCAGTTTAGATAATTGGGGCATCTAGTGGTGAACTTTTACTTCAATGCATATAGTAAACTGTGACAACAGTTTATTAATCTTTTTAGATTTACCAAGTATGTGATAGAGAACTTACTTTTGATTTTCCATTTGCTGAATAGTTATTTTTCAATGTATTTGTTTGGAAAATAATTATCCATAGTTCTTAATTAACCTTAGTTCTTTAAATAATTATCAAAAGTATTGAGTACTATCTGCCTTTAGCGACCAGCTTGATCACTTTCAAAATTAGTTTGTGTAACATACTTTACCCTATAGCAGAGGTCGCCAAAGTGGCCTATATAGACCCCCAGGGGTCTATTTAGCAAATGCGAAGATCGATCTTAACCTGGGGGTCTATCCGAATCTGAAAGGTCGATTGGAGGTCAAAGAAAAAACAGTTCTTAATACGTAAATCACATATACCTAATTGAGTATGTAAAATTTGTGACTTTTTTTATAATTAACTTAATATCTTCTTCATAGAACTTAAATTAATAAACGTATATTTATTCGGGTGAAACAAGTATTTACGTACCAGCGCGCGATGGCACAAACTCTGCACTTCTAGTTTATAAGTCATATGCATATGTGCGCTTGTCCAAATGACACGTGTGACGAGCATTGACGTTACAAACGCAAATATCATATGCAGTTTCAGCTATCTTTGCAAACTGTGAACAGTGTTGAATATTTGCAGTGTCATTATTAAAACTTTTATAGTTTTGGATAATTAGTTATTGTTTCGATAAAACCATTCGTTTAGTACAGATATCAATTTTAATTATCAATACATGTAAAAAAAAAAAAAGGTAAACATTAATAATATGGATTAGTACAGCTGGCGACAAAACTATAGTTATTGTTACACAATGCTATAGTTTTGTCGCAACTCATAAAACTATTGTTACACAATGTACTATTACTTTAATAAATGTTTAAAATCATAAAATAAATGTAAACACAGTATCTAATAGAGTTTTATTTTTATTAACAGAAAATTGCTCTTATGGGGGTGGATGGACATTTCGAAAAATTATATAGGGGTCGATTATCAAAAACGTTTGGCGACCCATGCCCTATAGTAATCGAAGAGACGATTTCAGTTTTTGATTTTTTTTTTTTCATTTCTCAAAAAATTCGGAGATGATTATTTTGTAATTTAGAGGCGTTTAGGGCATGCAATTTTTCATACTTATCAATAAGTTTCAAAGCTTTCACAGGTTAAAGGGATCGACATTAAATTACGAACGAAAACAAGGATTTTTGAACACCCTATGACTGGAAAAAATAGCAATTAACTTGTAACTTGCAATGATAACTTCGGTCGTTATTTTCAATCATTGAATTAAATTTCGTTCACCCAGCTTAAATATTCATAGAAATAAAATTTTTATTTATGTAAAAAAAAAATTTGCTGCAGTTTTTGGTTGTAACTTAAAAAATATTTAGCAAAATTTTCAGAATACTTTTTAATTAATGACAAAATTATTATATTAAAATGAAATTTGTTAAAAATTACGCAAAATCTGAGCCTTTAAAGTAGCTTTTTCTTCGCATGTGCGAAGAAAAATAAAATAATAAATTTTAAATAAAATATTGTAGTGAATTGTATTTAGTTGCTAATTAAAAAGTTCGATTCGAATGTCTAGTGCTAATAATCAAATGGCGGGAAGCAACTTTATCAAAATTTTATGTAGGACTCCTTTATGTTTGAAAGAAAATTAAATATAACTGTCAGATTTTTACCAAGTTGTACAAAACAATTGCAATCAGTTGTACAAAACAATTTTGAATTGCAAATTAAAATAAGAGGTAGATTTTTAAAAATATTTAATTGTTATTAATAATATTTCTAAAAATATTAAATAAAAATTCGGGCTACATAAATTTTAATGTGCACCTATGTATTAAACAATTAATGTGCAACAGATATCTAATTGTAAAGATATAAAACTTCAAAAAGGTTGGTATTAAAACTTACATAGTAGCACACAAAATATTCAATGAGAAAATTGAGGTTTGTCTGCTGCAAACACCAGAGAATAGATATTTACATTTAAAATTTACAAATGTGTGTAAATATTCTCGTCCAAAATGAGTGGTTTCTAAAAGTTAAATCGGAGAATTTCTTCGAGAAAATTTCTGATACACACATGCTAAATTATATTCACAAAATACAAAAAAATGAAATAAAAAAGAGCAACATACACGATTATTTTTGTATTTGAATAAATATTTTCTTGGATGCAAAACCTGAGAAATAAATTTTTTTGCACCGTTGATTTGTTAAATTTCACAGAAACGAAGAAATTAGGTTTTTATTAACGAGAAAAGTATTTTAAACCCATGTATATTTTTTACGAAAATTGTCCTCAAAAAACGATAACTAATATATTTTAGCCAGTTGGAAACCCCTGATCTAGAACATTGAAAAAGTTTTTTGCAATTTTCTAGTCAGTTTTCGTTATTTTTCAAAGAAAGCTCTGAATGATTATGGATTTTCCACAAATTTTATTTGTGGAAAATATATTGTATAAAATTTATTTGAAATGGCAGCGTATTTCATGTGATCATCCTCCATAAAAGTATGTTTTCTTTCTTTATACCATCACATTTCGGTGTACGGACGACTATTGTAAGGTATTATTAGTTATTTAATTTTGTCTTCTGGAAAAGGAAATTTGTTGAAAATCCCTTATCATTTAGATTTTTCCTTTAAAATATACAAAAACTATTTAGTAAATTTCCACAAAATTAGTAAATTTTTAAAATATTCAAATCGGAGTTATAGCCAAAGACAAAAATAAATAAATAGTTTTTTTTTAATATTAATCTGGCCATATTTTTACAAATATGTAAGCTTGGTTTAGGAAATTTTTTGCAATATAGACTATCGCAACTCACGAATACGCTATCTGGGGAGAAGAGCGGTTCCCTGCCTTCGACCCCTTCCTTTTTTCAGTTGTATCGAAATCTACTGCGCTATTTTCACCTTTATTAATATTTTTCGCATTTAAATGTTAAAAATATTTTTTTAAATTTCCATGACGCTTTTTTTTAGAACTATGTTTAATTTAGTTTTAATCTATTTGAAAATCAAGACGGAAACTAACGTACTTCATTCATCTATGACTCTCCACAGGCTAATGGTAAAAGCATGGCAAGTATTGCCATGGTAAAATAAATGGGTTTAGTAAGCCACCTATAACCCATTTGGATCGCCAACAATTACTAATAACCAGTAGCGTGCCAACTTTTTTTTGACTTGGGTGGGGGGAACCAATGCAAAGTCATAAACTTTCTCCGAACTAATATTTTAAAATTAGTTGTATTATTTTAATATTGTAATTATTTAAATTATTTCCTTTGTTTATGACGACTATGATTTAACTATTACATTCACACCAGCAAATTAGTTAACTAAAAAAGATTTATCAGTCGGAAACAAATTTTTAAAAAAAAGTGCATTAAAATTTTATTAATTAATTTTGCAGTTTTACTCCTTTAAATTTGTTAATGCTGAGCTAGACATTTTATAGATTTTGATCATAATGACATAAGATGGTTTTTTGCTCCTCAAAAACATATTGAATCAAGAATAATTTGTGATTTACATTTTGATTCTGGCATAGATTTGAGTTTGATCATAAATATAAATTTTCAGTATACAAAAAAGGAGAATTTATCATATTAGTTTAATTTTTATGATAAAGCACAAGGTATTAAAAAAATTAAAACATATGAAGGACGTAAAAGAGATTGATTTCTCAAATTAAATCTTATTTTAAAATTACTTTGAATTTTAACTAGTCTTCTGATTTTTCTAGTTTATTCCAAGGTAAAAGTTGTAGATATACATAAAGAAAAAAATATGTATACATTTTAAAACATATAAATATGCAGTAATTCAATGAAGTAGAATTACCTTATCATATTAATTAAATTTTCATGATAAAAGACAAGGGATGAAAAAATTAAAACAAATTTTCATTTTAAAATTACTTTTAATTTTAACAAGTCTTCTGATATCTCTGGTTTATTCCAATGTAAGAATTACGTTTACATAAAAGCAAAAATATATACTAAGTAAAATATATCTATGTAACTTCCAGCGTGCCATATTTAAATAAGTTTCTTATTGACAGAAGTATAAACTAAACCCTAAACCACATTGTTAATTGTAAAATTATAACCAGAATTTTATTGCTTTTACTTCAAGAACGAAGCGTTCGGCATAACTAGCTTTATCTAATATTGGAGCATTCCTATTTGTGACATATTCCAAGACATTATTTGTTTCCTAGAATGATTTTTCTCAGTTTTGGGAAGTGAATTACAAAAATTTAAAACTATTTATGAAACGCCAGTTTGTGCGATTGCAACTTACAAAAATTCTGATAGAAACACAAAAGGAAAAAATTTAATTTTCCACGTGTTCCCTAAAGAAAATGAACAACTATGTAATTAATAGCTTCAACATTGCAAACGAAATGACCCAGTTAATATTAAATATGAACGAATATGCAGTAAGCATTTCTTGAAAGAAGATTATGAAGTATATATGAGAAATCGTTTGCTTGGAATGACGATTAGAATGATTTTAAAATTGCTCTAACTCTACCAAGTGCTCTCTTATCAGGAATTTGAGAACATTTTAAAATTTCGTTTCGACTATTTAAGACCGGATTGCTTCAAATGCGTAAACAATATTAAGTGGCAGAATAAGCAAAATTTTTATTCTTTAATTCAGTCTATATCTAAAACTTACACGGTTAAATAATAAATGAAGAGGATAAAATATCTTATTTTCTCAAAACTTTTCGGAAATAAGTTATGAATGAAAACATTTGTCTATAACTTTTTTACATTTTGATTGTTCTGGGCAAAGAGATTACTTCGTTAAATAGAAGCTTAGATAAATTTATGTACATTTTTCTATTACAAATGTATTTCAAGATAATTTACACCATAAATGAATTAAGTTAAAATACAAAATTATTTGTTATATTTACCTATATACGAAATAAAATATTTAAAAATAGATTTAAAAATCGTATTTTTGTATATACAATGCTTGGATAGGAAATTACGTCAATCACAAGCTTTTACTCAAACTAATTAATAAGAAACTTTGCTCTAGTCTTTTCTTATTTCTAATTTTATAAAACAAAACATCAGAATTGATAGTTGCTATGGTTTTTCATGCATTATATAATTATTTATACTCAGTCGCATCAATATGGCGTTAATTATTGCCGATGCGAGCAAAATTTCTGTTCTTCTTAGGTTCGAAATATCTCATATTTTTTACATGATTTGCCCGAACAATCATTGATGGATCAATTCAGAGCATTCTTATTAAGAAAAAAGACAAATTAACAAAATTATTAGGTACTACCGGGGAGTGCACGCCTTTTAACTTTGCTTAAAAACGATGGTATAAACTTTTATGTCCATCATTTTCTAAGGCACAACGATTAGAAACTTTTTATATTCGTATAAAAATAAAACATAATTTTGGAATATAAAAGAAAAAGGTACCTTTTAAATAGTTTTATTTATCTATTTAATATCAATTATAATTTATCTAGAGTTATTTATCTATTAAGACTTAAACAATATAAGCCATATCGCTAAATTTTTCTTCCCCTTTCCCATCCGGTCACATTAATTTTCGGGATGCTTGATTGTTATTTTACGGTTTCTTCAATTTATTATTTTCATTCTCGACCGTATTCATAGAAGTAAAATTCATACCCCGGGAATGTCGGGGAATATAATTTTCCACAAAATGCACGGCCTATAGTTTAATTTAAAATTAACTAGTTTATAAAAAAATTTTGTCTTGAAAAATTGATCCGCAGCGTTTAATATTATAATTTTTAACCATTGTTGAAATAAAGTTAATTTGAAACGAAATATCTTTTTTTATTTATTTATTGGTTAATTTTATAAATCGCGGGAATTTTTTTGAGTCGAATGTATTCCAAAATACTTTAATAGACTGTCAAATAATTTGGAGAAGCCGCAGATTTAGAAAGGATCAGATTGCACAATGCTTCAAAATATAAAGATAAATGCAATCCATAATTAAGCCTTTTATTTTTTTAGTCTTTATCGATATCATAAATCTAATAAGTACAAAATATACATAATAGTGGATGCGAATCTTCTAAACGCGCCTGAGAAAAGGTAAAAATGGAATAGTTAGAAAATTTATTTGGGAAAGAATATTTAACAAAATTTTCAAAATCTTTGTATTCTTCCTTAATTTTTAGAGCTCAAGTTTTTAGATATATGCAATCATATATTTTGATAAGCTCATATATTGGAAGCTCCGTTACCACAATTTTTAATATAACTTTTGTCGGGTGCTCAAAATGACATGAAAAAACATACACGAGTTGCTAAGTAAAGTTCAATGAAACTGACGCAGAAACGTTATAAAAACATGAAAAATCATTATACGAAATTTTAAAACCTGATTGATTGCTAAAGAACACAGGGAGGATGTGAAAGGCAAATGTTTGAAATATTTGCCATACCAGGTTTAAATTTAATCATCCTGCTTTCCTTAATGATGATTCGTCAGATTTCGAAAAGCTTATTTTCTTTCATGTTTGAAAATTAATCTGCGACCGCTAATGTAGATACGGTTTTTGCTTTATTTTTGAATACAATTCTAAATTAAGAACAGTATTTACTGAATCCCGTTTACACTCTATTACTTTGTCTTTTACATTCAAATGGTTAAAAAAATCAGCTTTATATATGTATAGTCTGAACTTGTAAAGATCTCCTAAATTTATTTTAGAAAATCATAATTACTTTTAATAATATAAAGCAAAAGTGCATACAAAATATTTCATTCATTTCTAATTTGCTTTAAAAAATTCAATATCCATTATTTTATACGCGAAAAATAATTTAATTAAAATGTACCATAAAAAAAGTAAAACCTTTATTTTCTGAGTATATTGTGCTTCAAGTATTTTGTGTTCTTTTGAAAAGTGTTCTAGGTGTTAATTGCTCAAAAGCAGAGAAATTGTTCCAAGTAGAATCCATTGCTGAGCAATTGGTCGATATTAGCGATACTTGGATAAATAAGACTAAATACATATATACAAATTGGGATTCGATTCAATGCGAAATTGAAGATGGGGGTTAATAAAAACAATTAATTCAGTATCAAAAACATAATATTAATTAAGAGTGTAGTCTCTGTTAAAGAGCCGACCCAGGCGTTCCGGTATTACCGCTCGTTTCTGGGTTGCTCAGCTCACTAATAATAGCAAAATACTAGTTCTTTAGTTGCCACCCCTGGGGGTTGCTCGCATACCTCAGTTCTAATAGATTGCTCTGTTTAACGTGCATGTATTATGTGTAAATTAAATTAATTATGAGTATAAAATTATATCCTGTCTCTAGTAAAATAGGCAGTTCAACCCAATGAATTTAAGTTTTCATACATCGCATCATGTACAATAATAAATCACACCATAGTAAACACGACGGTGAACAACCAGAATGCTATTTTGTGAGAATATTTTATTACACACACAAAAAAAATTACATCATCCAGCCTTATAAATTCAACTTTTCATAGGGCTGAGTAATCTCATTTGACAAAAAGTACAATATCATCTCACACCATACAAAAGTTAGGGTATTCAATCTTATGAAATCAACTTTTCATATGTTGTATAGTGTACAATAGTAAATCACACCATAATAAACATGACTATGAGCAACCAGAAAGCTATCTATGATGTCATAAAAATATTTTATTACACACAACAAAAATAGATTAATTAATATTAGGAACATAATTGTTAAAAAAAATTTAACAACCTTACTTTTCATAAAATGTGACAACAAATCACTTCACATGAACATCATTAAAATAGCTTTAAAAAATTGTTAAAAAATTAAATGAAATAAATTTTAAAGAATGTCCTTCACAAATTTATAAAATTTCATTAAAAAACTTGCAAATGCAATTTCAAAGTAAGTGCATTTTATTTTAATTGTCTATAGACAAAAAAAAAATCTAAATATATTTTGTACAAGATATGGAAATTGTATTAAAAATAATAATTTTAAAAAAATATCTTTGACAAATTTTTTAAACTTTATTTCTTTATCCATTATGCTATAATACACAGTATAAGTATAAAATTAAATAAAGTGCATTATATTTTAACTGTTTATAGACAAATAGAAATATTTATAATAAGATATTGAAAATGTGCTTATTAGAAAAGAACTACAAATTAATATCATACACTTATACATAAAGACCTCATGACAAGAATTTTTTTAATGAACAGGGCAGATATCTAAAAATGACAAATTAAAATCATTTGCATATTTACTTATTAAATTTTATTATTTAGTTAAATAGTTTTTGGAATTTAAAAAAAAACTTAATTATGATTTAAGATTCCGATAAAAAATAATTTTGATTATTTTTTAAGAGTTTGAAAAATCTTGTGCATTTTTCAAATTTTCGGTTGATTATAAGCTCAAAAACATTTAAATGTAATTAAAAAAATTATGATCAATAAATACTTAAATGACTTGCTGTGAAGAACAAGAAATTGATTTTATGAAACAATGTATACTACTTTATATGTTTCATAAACAAACTAAGAATAAGGCTTTTAACCAGTATGAACACGAATGTGACTGGTCAGTTTATTTTTTAGTGCAAAACTCTTATTACATATACTACAAGAATAAGGCTTCTCACCAGTATGAAGAAAAGTGTGTAGTGTCAGATAACCTTTTTGCGAAAAACTCTTATTACATATACTACAAGAATAAGGCTTATCACCAGTATGAACACGACTGTGTGTAGTGAGATGACTTTTTTCTAAAAAACTCTTATTACATATACTACAAGAATAAGGCTTCTCACCTGTATGAACACGACTGTGTCTTTCCAGACTATTTTTGTGTGAAAAACTCTTATTACATACACTACAAGAATAAGGTTTCTCACCAGTATGAGCACGACTGTGTCTAGCGAGTTGACTCTTTTCTGAAAAACCCTTATTACATATACTACAAAAATAAGGTTTCTCACCAGTATGAGCACGACTGTGTCTAGTGAGTTGACTTTTTTCTGAAAAACCCTTATTACATATACGGCAAGAATAAGGCTTCTCACCCGTATGAAAACGACTATGTCTTTTCAGACTACCGTTATGTGAAAAACACTTATTACATATACTACAAGAATAAGGTTTCTCACCAGTATGAGCACGACTATGAATGGTCAGACCAGTTTTTAGTGAAAATTTTTTATTACATATACTACAAGAATAAGGTTTCTCCCCAGTATGAACACGACTGTGTCTATTCAGAATCATTCTTTCTGGAAAACTCTTATTACATATAATACAAGAATAAGGCTTCTCACCAGTATGAACACGACCATGTCTAGTGAGATGACTTTTAAGCGAAAAACTTGTATTACATATACTGCAAGAATAAGGCTTTTCACCAGTATGAATACGACTGTGTCTTTTCATATTACTTTTTTCTGAAAAACTCTTATTACATATACTGCAAGAATAAAGCTTCTCACCAGTATGAGCACGACTGTGTTTATTCATAATCATTCATGGAAAATATCTTATTATGTATACTACAAAAAAAAGGCGTCTTACCAGTATGAATTTTACAGCGATTATTTGGACTTTTTCATGAAAATCTCTTATTACATTAACAAGAATAAGGTTTGTTTACAGGATGATACTTATTCTGAATTAAGTTAGGCCTTTACAAACATAGTTATAGCATTAATAACTGCATTGTAGAACTACAAAAAAAGAGCATGCTGCAATCAAGTCACTTACTTTGACTTAAATTTTAATTAAGTAAAATATAATACTAAAGCAATATGATCTATTAATAGGTGCATCTGTGAAGCATTAATTTAAATTAATTATACTGAGATGTAAACATATTTTATTTTTCACAACCAACTTTAATATTTCTCTTTTGTCGAACATACCAAGAAACAAAAGTAAATTAAATTATTTAACTTTATGATATTAACATAATAACTATTATGACCATGAAATTATCAAATTTGATTTCATTAGCATTTTATTCACAAAGACACTGCAGAAATATAGTTCATTATAAACCAAGAAAGGCAACAAAAAAAAATTTCACTTTCACTGACTTAAAGGGTTTGAAATTATCTATAAAGATATTAAAAAAACATTAATTTCCAATTTTTATATCGATGTTCAATTATGCACAAGCTCTTAATCATTAGCATAAATACGAGAAAGTCAACAAAGTTTATCTCTATTTACGAGTATTAAATTGCACAAAACTGAATACGGAAAATATTTTCTCAGTGTGAACAGGAAAATCACAATTTTAATTTCTTGCGTATAACTGAAACGATTGTCTGCAACTGTAATTTCAATCTATTTACCACTGTTTAATAATGCACTACATGAAAAGTTTGTTTAAAGTGTTACTTAAACGAAATTATTCTTTTTTTCCTTTATTGATTTATTACAATGAGTGCTTAAATAAATTATATCCATATTATGAGCACAAAACAATAAAATGAAACTAATTCTTATTGTGTAATTTTTAGAACAGAAGTAAAATGTTTTATAATAACGAAGAATAATTGTGAACTACAATTGGAAATTTATCGATACTAACATTAAATATCCATGTATGAAAATAATTTTCTGTTAGAACATCATTTCAACTGTGACACACATTGCACAGAGACTATTTGCTGTTAGTGTTGCTACATAGAAAGAGATTGCCTTTACTAATAATATTTCCTTTACTCAAGGAGAATTTTCACACACTGAATGAATAGTTTATTGATTATATAAATCATAAAGAAAACACAATATTTTTTAAAAAAATATTTGTGCAGGCACAATTTGAATTTTATTAACTGTCAGCAAAAATGTATTTTATCATTCACATCGATTTTTTTCGGTATGAAGAAGATAATCTATGAATTAGATCTCCATGGAAATAAACATTGCGATGAGAGTTGTTTACATTATCGGTTGCCTACTTCTGCTCATCTGATCTCAAGGATCTTGGGACAGATTTTGACCAGTAGAGGACGCTACTTGCATGCCTCTTTTTAAGGGAGTATTCCTACTGCATTGTAAAAAATCGCGTATGTGATTTCGAAGAAGCCACAGAGAAAATGACCAGTATCTGAAATATAATTCGCAATCGCAACGCTCGAGTACGCCGTCTAGCGGGAGCCTGTAAATATCGGACATTAATTTATCACGTTTTCATTTAGTTCCATCAAAGTCATTGACTGAATCAGACGCCATTTTTTAGCAGCAAATAAGAAACAAAATTTCCCTAAGGAAAAGGCCGAAGAACTTGAAAAAAATCTCCAGAATATTAGTAAATCTTTCAGGAACAGAACACGCCAAACATTTGAAGAAAAATTCCTCAATAATTTTTAATTTCTATTATCAACAAACTTGCAACTGATGACTTCCGATTTCGGATACTGTTACAGATGTGTGTATTAAGGTAAAATGCATTTCTTCTGTCTTCAATTCATTACGAATTAAAGTGAAGTCAACATTGCTTTCGTCATTCCAGTGAATAAATATGAATTCAGAACATACAGAATTGTAATAGTTATAGCATATTCTTCTTCGTTATAGAATAGTATATATTTCTGTATCCATATAATTCGGAAAACAACAATAAAAAATTATCCAAGTTACTTGAAATAGTGCCATTTGTGCTGATTCTTAATTAATTTTAATCGTTTTCTTGGTAAGTATTTTTTAGTTTTGAAAGAATAAGTTCAACTAGAATTCAGCTATTCTGTTTTTAGCTACATATTCAAATTCATATCAATTATAAAATTTTGCTGTGTAGTATGTTATCTAAAAGTAATGAAGGTATAAACTATGTATCTATTATTTGAGAATAAAGTTTTCAAACAAGGAACTTATCATTTTGGAATTCTCCGGGAATCATAAATCAGGTAAGTGCAATGATTTTTACAATAAAAAATTTGCTTGTAAATATTTTTTTTTCATTTGATGATGGTTCTCTACAGAATGGTTTTTTACGTCTGATTAAGAACTATAAGAATAATAAAAAAAGAAACAATATGAAAGTTTTTATTTCAATGTTAAGAATTCTTAAAATCGTTTTTTTTATCCTAAGAATTCTTTATTTTCCGTTTTTTAGTTTATAATTTTTTGATAAAAATTGTTCTCAAAATACTTTTTTTGAAAAATTAAATGGTATAACATTATGTGTTTATGTATACTTCTTGTATATTCCAATGTTTGAAGTAATATGATTCAGAAAAGTATGGAATAAAAATTCGGTACTTACGTATTAACGCCACCGCCGCTACAGATTTGGCGGTTTTTAAGTGCCGCCAATCTACACTTAAAATTTTTGCGACAATTCATAAAATAAAACACTTTATTTAAAATCAAAATAGTCAATCGGATTTCGGTGGAAAATGAGCCGATATAGAGTTTAGCATAGATTCAAAACAATCATATCGCCATATGAACTCTGATAAATAAGATTCCAAATGAAATAACATTTCCAAAACGTACGTTTACCAAGATAAAGTTTTATGTTGTGGGAATTGGTACATTTTCGTTTTTTCGGTAAAATATTTCCCTCCTGAAAAAATAAAATTGCATCTTGTTTTGTTTTTGGCAAATCCCAAAGACGAATTTTCGTAGCACTAAAAATGGCGACAAAAAAGAATTGTTTTTTTTTTTTTTTTTTTTTGTTTCGTCAGCATTCTTTATTTTACGTTTCTTAGTTTCTAAATAATGATTTTTATTGAAACTTGAAATTTTTTGATAAAAATTGTTGTCAAAAAACTTTGTTTACAAAATTAAATTTCATAAAATTATGAGGCTTATGTATACTTTTTGTTCATTTTAATTTTTGAAGTAATATGATTCTTAAAACTATAGAATGTAAAGTTTAAATGGGCCTTTCATGTTATATCATTAAATTTAGTAATACTATTTCTCGGGCATTAGGTTTTAACTCTTATAAGAATATACATATTTTTTTCTGTTAATGTACAAATATTTTTCCGATGTGTTTTGGATATTCCTTCTCTAATAAAAAGAGATACCATTTTGTTTTCGGTTGTACAAGAAAGAAGATCAAGCATTTTTCTTTTTTAAATTTAATAAGCCACATTAAAGAAGGAACGTTGCAATGCTACACGCTACATTAACGACGTCTCCAGAGTAACTGAATGACGGTTCATATAGAAATCGCAGGTATGCGTCTCATACAACAACGCCCCCTATAGTTCGTTGCGATCGCGAATAGTCACACAAGATTCAAACAATGCCAACAAACAGTTTATTTACGTCGCACTAGAGCTGCACAATGTGCTATTGGCGACGGTCTGGGAAACATCTCTGAGGATGATCCGAAGACATACCATCACAATTTTGATCCTCTGCAGAGGGGATGGCTCCCCTGATTTGGTAGCCCGATGACCTGCACGCGAAGTCGAGCACTTTACGATAAAACAGTTTAACGAGGACCAATACCGCACACCCTATGGTCCCTACGCAGACTGACCGCAGTCAGTGATGCTTGACTTTGGTGATCTGCTGGGAACCGTGTCTTAACGATCAGTCCACTGTGGGACCCGGTAAAAAGGATACTGGACAGAGGCACTTGACCTTAAAAAAACATTGATGCAGGGCATACCGGGCAGTGGCATTGAACTTTAAAAACATGTAGGGTATACAGAGCAAATGTATATCGGGCCGTTGCCCTTAACTAGACCTAGTATATATTTCGGACATTTACCAAAGCGACTATGTGATTGTCAACATCCACCGGCGGAAATTAACAACCACCAATTTCCGTCATTCACAATAACGTAATTAAATTTTGTCTCATAGTATTGGAGTTATCTGCGGAACTGGTAGTATGTTTTGGTACTGATTTGATTGAATCATTAATTTCTAGGAAAAGAACCTAAAGCAAGCACGTGCCATACCCCAAACTTTTTTCAAAAAGTTTTTTCTTTAAATCCTTAAAATGATATATTATTTATTTTATTTTTTTTTGCTTTAAAAATGTAGATAATTTATCTGTAATTTAGCAAAATAAAAGTTTAAATTTAACGATGCAACGAAATTTAAGCATTAATGCTAATAGTTGTATTTTAATGCAATTGTTGTATTTATTTAGTTAATAATGGAAGTTAGCAATTATTTATGAAAGATAAATTTCTTTTTAATTATCTTTATTTTCGATTATACAGTGAAATAATTTTTAAAGACACCTTTGTTAACATCAAAAGTTTAATATTGATTTAATTTTTTTCTTTTAAAATTCTAAATAACTTACAACATTATCGAATTGAAAATTTATATTCTGATTTGTTTTAAGGTTTAATTTCTTGGCAAAACTTGATTTGCTATGATGAATGTTCTTAGAACTTTTAACTAATAAGTTCCATTTCATACGATATATCCTTTTTTTTACTACTAATTAATTTGAAATTAAGCGTACGATTTTCTTTAAATTTCAGTAGATGGTGATGTTTAAAACTATTTTATTTTATTATCAAATAACTTTTTAAAATTTCGCTTCGACTATTTAAGACCGGATTGCTTCAAATGCGTAACAATAATAAGTGGCAGAATAAATTACACGGTTAAATAATAAATGTAGAGGATAAAATATCTTATTTTCTCAAAACTTTTCGGAAATAAGTTGCGAATGAAAACATTTGTATATAACTTTTTTACATTTTGATTGTTCTGGGCAAAGAGATTATTTCGTTAATAGAAGCTTAGATAAAATTAAGTAAATACATTTTTTCTATTACAAATGTATTTCAAGATAATTTACACCATCAATCACAAATGAATTAAGTTAAAATACAATATTATTTGTTATATTTACCTATATAGGAAATAAAATATTTAAAAATCGTATTTTTGTATATACAATGCTTGGATAGGAGATTATGTCAATCATAAGCTTTTACTCAAACTAATTAATGAGAAATTTTGCTCTAGTCTTTTCTTATTTCTAATTTTATAAAACAAAACATCAAAATTGAGACTTGCTATGGTTTTTCATGCATCATATAATTATTTATACTCAGTCTAATTATTGCCGATGCTGGCAAAATTTCTGTTTTTCTTAGGTTTGAAAAATCTTAAATTTTTTACATGATTTGCCTGAACAATCAATCATTAACAAATCAAACAATCAAATCTTTTATACCAATCATTTTCCAAGGCACAACGATTAGAAACTTTTTATATTCGTATAAAAATAAAACATTATTTCGGAATATAAAAGAAAAAGGTTATCTTTTAAAGAGTCTTATTTATCTATTTATTCTTATTTTTTTTTTTTTTAATTTCCAATGAGCTGCACAATCAGTCTTGCCGATGAGCAGACCAAGTGCGTTCTCTAGAAGTGGTATACACTCCTTCAGGTCCACCACAATGGGTGAGATACCGTTGGCCATGTTAATTTGGACGTCTAGTTTCTGACACTCTAGATGGCAGCACCGAGACTCTATTTTGGATGCTAAAGTGCGCTAGGAATTTAATTTTGTCGGAATAAGGCACTCCACGGATCTTTTACACGCCGCATAATCATACGACATGTAGGCTCAGGATTTTCTGCGTCCCGAAAATCTGGTGTCTGGGCAGGGGATCGAACCCGCATACTTGGACTCAGAAGGGCGACGACAAACCAACTGCGTCACCCAGTCACTCTATATAATATCAATTATAATTTAACTAGAGTTATTTATCTATTAAGACTTAAATAATATAATCCATATCGCTAACTTTTTCTTCCCCTTTCCTATCCGGTCACATAAATTTTCGGGACGCTTAATTGTTATTTTACGGTTTCTTCAATTTATTATTTTCATTCTCGACCGTATTCATAGAAGTAAAATTCATACCCCGGGAATGTCGGGGAATATAATTTTCCATAAAATGCACGACCTATAGTTTAATTTAAAATTAACTAGTTTATAAAAAAAATTGTGTCTCCTTGAAAAATTGTTCCGCTGCGTTTAATATTATAATTTTAAACCATTGTTGAAATAAAGTTAATTTGAAACGAAATATCTTTGTTTTTTATTTACTGGTTAATTTGATTTATCGCGTGAAATTTTTTGATATATTTGAGTCGAATGTATTCCAAAATACTTTATTAGACTATCAAATAATTTGGAGAAGCAGCGGATTTAGAGAGAATCAGATTGCACAATGCTTCAAAATATGAAAATAAATGCAATCCATAATTAAGCATTTTATTTTTTTAGTCTTTATTGATATCATAAATCTAATAAGTACAAAATATACATAATAGTGGATGCGAATCTTCTTAACGCACCTGAGAAAAGGTAAAAACTAAATAGTTAGAAAATTTATTTGTTTCAATGGTTTGGGAAAGAATATTTAACAAAATTTTTGTATTCTTCCTTAATTTTTTGAGCTCAAGTTTTTAGATATATGCAATCATATATTTTATATTGGAAGCTCCGTAACCACAGTTTTTAATATAACTTTTATCGGGTGCTCAAAATGAAATGAAAAAACATACACGAGTTGCTAAGTACAGTTCAATGAAACTGACGCAGAAACATTATAAAAACATGAAAAACCATCATACGAAATTTTAAAACCTGATTGATTGTTAAAGAAAACAGGGAGGAGATGAAAGGCAAATGTTTGAAATATTTGCCATACCAGGTTTAAATTTAATCATCTTGCTTTCCTTAATGATGATTCGTCAGATTTCTAAAAGCTTATTTTCTTTCATGTTTGAAAATTAATCTGCGACCGCTAATGTAGATACGGTTTTTACTTTATTTTTGAATACAATTCTAAATTAAGAACAGTATTTACTGAACCCCGTTTACACTCTATTACTTTGTCTATTACATTCAAATGGTTAAAAAAATCAGCTTTATATATGTATAGTCTGAACTTGTAAAGATTTTCTAAATTTATTTTAGAAAAGCAATATTACTTTTAATAATATAAAGCAAAAGTGCATATAAAATATTTCATGCATTTCTAATTTGTTTTAAAAAATTCAATATCCATTATTTTATATGCGAAAAATAATTTAATTAAAATGTACCATAAAAAAAGAAAAACATTTATTTTCTGAGTATATTGTGCTTTAAGTATTTTATGTTCTTTTGAAAAGTGCTCTTGGTGTTAATTGTTCAAAAGCAGAGAAATTGTTCCAAGTAGAGCAATTGTTCGATTTGAGCGATACTTGGATAAATAAGACTAAATACATATATACAAATTGGGATTCAATTCAATGCAAAATTGAAGGATGGGGGTCAAAAAAACAATTAATTCAGTATCAAATACATAATATTAATTAAGAGTGTAGTTTCTGTTAAAGAGCCGACTCAGGCGTTCCGGTATTACCTCTCATTTCTGGGTTGCTCAGCTCACTTAATATTATCAAAATACTAGTTCTTTAGTTGTGACCCTTGTTGGTTGCTCTAATATCTCAGTTCTAGTAGATTGTTGTGTTTAATGTGCATGTATTATGTGTAAATTAAATTAATTATGAGTATAAAATTATATCGTGTTTCTAGTAAAACAGCAGTTCAACCCAATGAATTCAACTTTTCATACATCGCCTCTTGTACAATAATAAATCACACCATAATAAACACGACGGTGAACGACCAGAATGCTATTTTCGGCAAAAATATTTTATTACAAACACAACAAAAATAGATTAATTAATATTAGGAACATAATTGTTAAAAAAAAATTTAACAACCTTACTTTACATAAAATGTGACAACAAATCACTTCACATGAACATCATTAAAATAGCTTAAAAAAATTAAATGAAATAAATTTTAAAGAATGTCTTTCACAAATTTATAAAACTTCATTAAAAAACTTGCAAATGCAATTTTAAAGTAAGTGCATTTTATTTTAATTGTCTATAGACAAAAAAATAGAAATATATTTTGTACAAGATATGGAAATTGTATTAAAAATAATAATTTTTAAAAAATATCTTTGACAAATTTTTTAAACTTAATTACTTTATCCATTATGTTATAATACACATTATAAGTATAAAATTAAATAAAGTGCATTATATTTTAACCGTTTATAGACAAATAGAAGTATTTATAACAAGATATTGAAAAAGTGCTAATAAGAAAAGAACTACAAATTAATATCATACACTTATACATAAAGACCTCACGGCAAGAATTTTTTTTTAATGAATTGGGCAGCTATTTAAAAATGACAAATTAAAATCATTTGCACATTTCCTTATTAAATTTAATTATTTAGTTGAATAGTTTTGTGAATTTAAAAAAAAACTTAATTATGATTTAAGATTTCGATTAAAAATAATTTCGATTATTTTTAAAGAGTTTGAAAAATCTTATGCATTCTTCAGATTTCTGGTTGAATATAGGCTCAAAAACATTCAAGTGTGATTAAAAAAAATTATGATCAGTAAATATTTAAATTACTTGCCTTGAAGAACAAGATATTAATTTTATGAAGCAATCTATACTACTTTTCATGTTTCATAAACAAACTAAGAATAAGGCTTCTCACCAGTATGAACACGACCGTGTCTAGTGAGATGACTTTTTCGCGAAAAACTCTTATTACATTTACTACAAGAAAAAAGCTTCTCTCCAGTATGAACATGACTGTGTTCTTTCAGATTATTTTTTTGTGAAAAACTCTTATTACATATACTACAAGAATAAGGTTTCTCACTAGTAAAAGCACGCCTGCGTATAGTCATATTACTTTTTAGTGAAAAACCCTTATTACGTAAACTACAAGAATATGGCTTTTAACCAGTATGAACACGACTGTGGCGGGTCAGACTATTTTTCAGTGAAAAACTCTCATTACATATACTACAAGAATAAGGCTTCTCACCTGTATGAACACGACTGTGTATTTTCAGACTACCTTTGCATGAAAAACTCTTATTACATATACTACAAGAATAAGGCTTCTCACCAGTATGAACACGTCTGTGTAGAGTCATATAACCTTTTTGTGAAAAACTCTTATTACATATACTACAAAAAAAAGGCTTCTCACCTGTATGAACACGACTGTGTATTTTCAGACTACCTTTGCATGAAAAACTCTTATTACATATACTACAAGAATGAGGCTTCTCACCAGTATGAACAAGACTGTGTAGAGTCATATAACCTTTTTGTGAAAAACTCATATTACATATACTACAAAAAAAAGGCTTCTCACCAGTATGAACACGCCTGTGTCTGGTGAGATTTTGTTTGAGTGAAAAATTTTGATTGCATATACTATAAGAAAAAGGCTTCTCACCAGTATGAACAAGATTGTGTAGAGTCATATAACCTTTTCGTGAAAAACTCTTATTACATACACTACAAAAATAAGGCTTCTCACCAGTATGAAGAAGACTGTGTCATGTCAGATTACCTTTTAGAGAAAAACTCTTATTACATATACTACAAGAATAAGGCTGATCACCAGTATGAAGATGACTGTGTGAAGTGAGATGACTTTTTTGTGAAAAACTTTTATTACATATACTACAAGAAAAAGGCTTCTCCCCAGTATGAACACGGATGTGTCTGTTCAGAATCCTTCTTTCCGAAAAACTCTTATCACATATAATACAAGAATAAGGCTTCTCACCAGTATGAACAAGAGTGTGTTGTGTCAGATTCCCTTTTAGAGAATAACTCTTATTACATATACTGCAAGAATAAGGCTTATCACCAGTATGAAGACGACCGTGTGTAGTGAGATGACTTTTCTGTGAAAAACTCTTATTACATATACTACAAGAATAAGGCTTATCACCAGTATGAACACGACTGTGTGTAGTGAGATGATTTTTTTTAAAAAAACTCTTGTTACATATACTACAAGAATGAAGTTTCTCACGAGTATGAGCACGACTGTGTTTAGTCATATTACTTTTTTCTAAAGAACTCTTATTACATATAGTACAAGAATAAGGTTTTTCTCAAGTATGAACTCAACTGTGTTTATTCATAATCATTCATGGAAAATATCTTATTATGTATACTACAAGAAAAAGGCTTTTAAAAAAAAATATTTGTGCACGCACAATATGAATTTTATTAACTGTCAGCAAAAATATATTTTATCATTCACATCGATTTTTTTCGGTATGAAGAAGATAATCTATTAATTAGATATCCATGGAAATAAACATTGCGATAAGTGTTGTTTACATTATCGGTTGCCTACTTCTGCTCATCTGATCTCCAAGATCTAGGGACAGTTTGTGACCAGTAGAGGTCGCTACTTATTATTCACGATCGCAACACTCGAATACGCCATCTGGGGAGAGACCGGTTCAATGCTTTTAGCCCTTCTCCCTTCCCTCTCCTCCTCTTTTCAGTTGTATAGGAATGTACTACGATATTTTCCCTTTTCTTAATATTTTTCCTTTTTATTTAATAAGAATATTTTTTAAAATTTCCATAATACTTTTCTTTAGAACTATGTTTAATGTAGTTTTCAGTTCCATATAGTTTTTCAAGTTAAAAGATTTCAATCTATATGAAAATCAAGAGAGAAACTAACGTACTTCCTTCCTCTATGACTTTCCACACGCTAATGGGGAAAGCATGTGAAGTGTTGCCATAGGAAAAGAGTTCTGCTCTACGCCACCTGCAGCCCATTTCGATCGCCAATATATATCAGCTTATCCCCTTTTTAAGGGAGTATTCCTACTTCATTGTGAAAAATCGCGTATGCGATTCCGAAGATGCCACAGAGAAAATGACCAGTATCTGAAATAGAATAGTTACACAAGATACAAACAATGCCAACAAGCAGTTTATTGTTGTATTTCATTTACGTCGCACTAGAGCTGCACAATGTGCTATTGGCGACGGTCTGGGAAACATCTCTGAGAATGATCCGAAGACATACCATCGCAATTTTGATCCTTTGCAGAGGGGATTTCTCCCCTGATTTGGTAGCCCGACGACCTGCACGCGAAGTCGAGCACTTAACGATAAAACAGTTAACGAAGACCAATACCGCATACCCTCGGTCCCTACGCAGACTGATCCAAGTGGTCACCCACCCGTACACTGACAGTAGCCAGTGATGCTTAACTTCTGTGAGGAACCGTGTCTTAACGATCAGTCCACTGCGGGATACATAATTATATAATATGTAAATAATACATAATTATCGAATATGTAAATAAATTACATTTAAACTTACCAACATGAATTAAGACTAAATCATAATTCGCATTGAATTTGTCCACATTTATTCCACGGTGTGCAACAAGATTCCAATTTCTTTCAATATTTAAGTAATTAGCTAAATAGTTCCCCATGGAATCACCTAGTAAAAAGAGTAACAAAGTAAAACATATGTTAGTATTTTATGAAGAGGCAGAAGAAATATGCAATGTTTGCTTTGCTTTGTCCTTTTAGAATTAAACATTAACTGTCAAAAATCTTAGGACATAGAGAATGAAAAAAAATTCATATATAGATATAAAAAATACAAGTAGTTTGAGAATTTAATTTAATGAAAAAACCTAATTTCGAATTAAAATCTATATAAAGCTAATTTAAACTGTACTTAAATTGCTAATTTGAATTATTTTCCATTGGAGAATCATAGTAATTTTATTATTTATTTTAAATTTCAAAAAAATATTGGGTACAAATAGTTTTGCACATAATTGTGATACGTACAGAATAAATTTTTTTTATGAAAGTATGCATGCTCATAATTTATTCAATAGTTAAGACAACATAAAAGAATAATAATGAAAGCAGTAATTTCGAATAATGATAAATATTAGCTAAAATATAAAATAAGGATTGTTCCATTTCTTCCCAAGTTTTGATTTTGATAAGTTTATTATAAAATTGAAACAAAACTATTTCAAACATGATCAAAGAACTCTTCTCTATTTTTAAGAAAATTCAATATAAAGCCTTATGTAAAAGTAAAATTTGATTAGCAATATATTTCCTAGAACAAAAAGATACGTTTGTATTACGTCTAATGTCACTGAAATAAATATAAATCACTTAATTTAAAGAAATGAAATTTCATCTCTAAACTGATTTATTTTTGACAGATCAAACGGCAGATTTCTAAGGAAACTGAGATACTGATACTTTTTAATGTTTGAAACTTTGATAAATGAAATTTTTTTATGTTTACGATTTTCTAAAAATACATAAATTTTACATGAAAAGAAAAACAAACCATGCAATTTAAATTCTAAAGCGTTGCACTTTCAGAAAATTTAATATAGTTTATTAATATTTACAAAATTTCAAGTAGTTTTTTTTTATATAATGCTTAAAAACACATACTTATGTTGTAAATCTTTAATTAATTAGAATTAACTGCAACTTAAATTTTAATGACAAATTATGAAATCCCACGCCATCAAGTCTAGAAAATTAGGAAAATGGCTTTCTCCAACAAATGCTTTTGTTTGAACAAGCCAAAGAGAACTTTATTTTGGCGATTAAGTTTGGATTACAGGATCAATATAGGGTTATAAGAAGGTTGATAGAATTCAAACAATCTTCTTCAGGAAAGCTAACTCTAAGCTTACTACATCCAGTTACCAATTCCTAAATTGTTACCTATTTTTATGCTAGTGAGAACCAAAACAATATGGAAATGAATGAGGAAGTCGCATAAGAAGTATAACTTCAAAAAAAAAAATTTTTTTTTTTGAAGTTATACTTCTTATGCGACTTCCAACAAGGTTGCGTTAAACGTTTAACGCTACATTTTTATTCGCCGGGAAATCACGTGGTAGGATCCAGTTTTCCCTCATTCATTTCCATATTGTTTTGGTTCTCACTAGCATAAAAATAATAAAAGT